TATTAAGTGGCAGCTAGGTGAGGGGTACCGGGTTCGATTCCCGGTTCGAGAGCTTTAATTTAATTTAAATTTGTTCTCGGCCTTTGGGAGGGTTGTACCGCGCGAGTGCTTAAACCGTACATGGAGGACACGGTCGAATTTCTAAAGACAAGCATGAATTATAAAAAATCCTATACTTGACGCTTGCTAAGGCTATGTTCACATGTAACGCGCGTTAACGCGCGTCAACGCGCGATCAAATTTGAAGAGCGTTCAGATGATGAGCGCTAACGCGCGTTGCGAGAGTACTCGTCAGTCTAGTTCGGTAGAACGTAGAAAATGGACGTGGAAGAGGCTATTATTTTGTGGTTATATTATAAAGAAAAATATAGAAAAAGAAAACGTACACATTGGGTTCATCCAATTTTGAAAAAAAAATACAAATTATATTATATTTTTTATACAAATTTGCTATATTCCAACTTGCTGGCCTTTTTTCTACTTCATCGATTAGTAAGTCGATGTCAATATCTTCAATTTCACTCATTTTAAATGCGAGAACAAAATATAATTACGAAAATTAACAAAATTACATGCGATCGCGATGAAAGCGCGCGCTCATCTGAACAGCAAACGGACATTACATTAATATCAAAGCGCGCGTCAACGCGCGATCACCTGCGTCTAGAGACTTTTTCTCTGAGCGCCGCGTTGACGCGCGTTAACGCGCGTTGACGCGCGCTCATGTGAACAGTTGTATGAAAATACCACAATGTCTAGTCGCGCGATTTGAAAACGCGCGTCAAGTTTTTGCCATCTGAACATAGCCTAATGCACAAATCGTGCCAGAGTCATAAAAAAAACAAAAAAAAAACATTCTAAAGGATTGTTAACTAATAATTCATGTATTGAATTTAAATGGTAAGCTTGCTGATAGGGTTCCATGCCTCAGGCTTTGCCCCGGGCGACTCGCTTTAATTATTAACATCGTACCCTCGCACACCGCTGCCCGGGGCAAAATACAATTTCAAAAGCGATTTGCCCCGGGCAACAACGAGCTATACTGGCTGTACTGACTTCGGCTATACAATTTCTCGTTGCTATGCGGTGACGATTTGTTTCTAGCCATGGTGCGAATTATGTCAAATCTAACGTTAGGTGATACCACCGCCCATGGACACTTAATAACAGGGCAAACAGGCAGGGCGCTCATCTGGAATTAAGTGATATCGCCGCCCCAGGAAACTTAATACCAGTAGGGTCGCGAGTGCGTTGCCGGCCTTTAATCTTTTTTTTTATCGAAAAGGGGCAAAGTGGCAGGACGCTAATCCGATGTTAAGAGATACCGCTGCCCATGGACACTTAATACCAGTAGGGTCGCGAGTGCATTGCCGGCCTTTAATCTTTTTTTTATCGAACAAGGGGCAAACTGGCAGGACGCTAATCCGATGTTAAGCGATACCGCCGCCCATGGACACTTAACAAGAGAGGGGTCGCGAGTGCGTCGCTGGCCTATAATCTTTTTTTATAGGACATGGGGCAAACAGGCCTATAAAGTCATCTGGACCTAAGTGATATCGCCGCCCCTGGAAACTTAATACCCCTCAGGGTCGCGAGTGCGTTGTCGGACTTTAATATTTTTATAGAACAGGGGGCCAACGGGCAGGACGCCCATCTAGTGTTCAGTGGAACCGCCGCACATGGACACTCTCAAAGCCAGAGGCGTCGCGGATGCGTTGCCGGCCTTTAATCGTCGCCAATTTCTTGTCTGCATCGGAGTTTCTATATTCATAATGTGTAACTAAATATTGCTTTAGATTTTATATACAAGCTGTTTCAGTTTTAACTGGGAATTGTAAAAATACTTATTTTTATGCCAAAATGGCCGCAGACTCCTCGCCGCAGGCATGCCTAGGGGAACGCGGCAATAACATTTTTTATTCCCCGCGTAAAATTTTACTCGAAGTACGATTATTATGTTTTTCTGATGGAGATTTTAATTGAATTTCACGCTGACACGAAACTAATTAAACAAAGACGTAATGAAACAGCTGCTAGTTTATTTCTTATGCTGTAAGTTTTGAAATTCCTTAACTCAAATTATCAATATATTCTTCTGGTAGCACTTTATTTATAAAAGATTCGCACGTACCAAGAAAAACATCGTGAGGAAACCGACTCGCCTTAGACCCACAGTCTACGTGTGTCAGGCACAGTAGGCTGATTGACTTGCCTATTAGATTGACATATCATGAAACAGATACAGTAATCTGAGGCCCAGACCTAAAAAGGTAGCGCCACTGATTTATTTTTTAAGTTTGACAATGTAATCTGTTTTGGCTTTGTATATTGTCTAAGTGTTTTCTTTTTGAAGTGATACTTCTTTAGGCGCCAACGCAACGCAATAATAATAATATTAGCGTCACGAAGATGTGCAGCGTTTTTGTCGAAGGAAAGGGAGAGGCGATTGAGACCGATTGAGTGAGAGTGCATCAGAGTAGCATGAAGCAAATAGCCATGGAGCGAGAGTAGGGAGCAAGCAAGTGAGAAAGATCGAGAGAGAGAGTGTAGTACCATGGAGCGAGAGGGGGAGAGAGCTATAGAGAGATAGATTGAGAGCTATTGGCTGATGTATTAGAATTAGAATGCCATCCGCATTTTTGCCGCATAACGTCTTGTGCAGTAAACGCAGATTTTTTATCATATATATAAAATTCTCATGTCACAATGTTCGTTCCCATACTCCTCCGAAACGGCTGAACCGATTGTTATGAAATTCTGTATGCATATTTAGTAAGTCTGACAATCGGCTACTATCTATATTTTAAACCCCTACGTGATAAGGGGTGTCCAACCCAAATATTCATTTTATTTTTTTTGAAACTTTGTTTTGGTTTTATTTTTTTATGATACAGTTAAAGTCAAAAATCATTTATACATATAGGTAACACATTATAAGTGTACATTAAATGCTTCTAATTTAACATTTACTGCCAGTTCTCAAATCAAGGGCGTAGAACGGAATAGAACTGGCAATAAACAGCATACAAAAATACGTACAACCCCATAGATAGTTATTTTTTTTAAACTAAAAAATGTTTCCTAGAAATAATATGCATGGCAAAACAATGTTTGCCGGGTCAGCTAGTTTATTTATATTATATTATCATTAGCACATATTATATAGTGTGAATATAGATATAAAAATACATGGAATGATCATATACTGGTACATGATCATCTATTGGGGCTTTTACCTTAGTAATAATTAATTTTCAAAGAAATTTCACTTCTGACACGTGTACTTGGTAAGCACGTACTTTTTTATTCATATGTGTAGCTGTAAGATTACTTATAAATAACTTTTTTTGTTTACAGCTATACTTCTGATTTTAATGAGCAATTCTGAAGAAGGAAGGAAGTCATTTACACTGTCTAAAAAGGCTTTAAAAGCTCTCAAACCGGGATACGAGCAAAAAAGATTAGTTAATTTTAGACATTATCCATCAATTTTCTAAATAAATGTATTGATCCTTCACTATAATTTCAGTAATTTCGTTTTTATTCAATCATGAAAAAATAGTTTAGTATTGAACTGTTTAATAATATTTTATTAAATATTTTATAAGATATATCAATTATTTTTATATTTGACGACTCATTGGTCTAGTGGTTAGTACCCCTGACTGCGAAACCATGGGTCCCGGGTTCGATCCCCGGCTGAGACGAACATCGATGTGATGAGCATTTGATGTTGTGCTTAGGTCTTGGATGTTTAAATATGTATTTATATGTCTATCTATGTATAATATGTATGTATATCCGTTGCCTAGTACCCATAACACAAGCTTCACCAGCTTAGCATGGGACTAGGTCAATTGGTGTGAATTGTCTAAAAAAAAAAAAAAAACTGGACCTTTTCAAAGTCGGATTGTCGTCTGGTTTCTTATCTCCGTCGATTTTTTAATAATTCATTCATAATCACAATTTCAAACAAAATTAACCCAAATCGATATCCGAAATATAAAAATTTATAAAGTATTTACTATATTACGTATGGACATAGTATAACTTATTATTTTATCTGTATGTACAATAAAAAAAAAAAAATTTTTTTTAAAATTTGGTCCCTGACCCTTGTGGCAGTGTATCTTTAACGCTGGCAGCATTTCCTCGCTGTACTGCGATACTTATTCGTTAAGGAAAGCGCCAGCTCTGGGGTCACCGGTACTATCTACCAGGCGCCAACTTAAATCTTTAATTAGCGCCTGTCCACTTGAGGCACGGCCCAAGAGTACTACTCCAAAAGGAACAAAATCAAAGTTGTATGAAAGACTCTTATTTTTGAGTATATGAACTAGTTTTTAATAAAATATTTTTTTTTTTGTTCTAAACTATTATTTGGACATTTCGATACAAAAACTTTCCTAACGATGTTTTCCTTCATCGTACGAGCACGTCAGAATAACCCTTTCATCACCATGACAGACTTGGGAGGCCCTCAGCAAGGCCAGCTGCTCCCTGATTTAAATTCAAATTCATTTAGGTAACACAATGTACACTTATGAACGTCAATAAAGAAATACATATTAAATGCTTCTAATTTTACATTTACTGCCAGTTCTTAAATCATGGGCGAAGAATGGATGACAAAAACATTGAACTCCCCGTCACTCAATCGCCAAGTTTTTGTTTTACAAAATGTTTGTAACTGCAACCATTACACCATGTTTCACATGACATCTCTAAGTACTTAACTATAATAATAAATAAATAAAAACAAAGATTTGTCCTCTATCAGCAGGAGGCATGGTGAAATAGGAGCACGCACTTACATTCTCGTGGGTACTACACGCAAATTCGGTTTATTGGTAAAAAATATATTTAAAAAATTGGGAGTTTTACTAAAATATTTAACTATTATAGTCAAATTAACAAGTCAGTTAAAAGCAGTTAACTTTATCGTAAACTATAACAGGCAATTAGTAACTAAATGCTCTAGTGCGCACAAAGAAGTACAAATGAAATTGTTCCGAACATTTTTGGTATGTACAAATTTTGTATAATAATATTAACCATATAAAGTTATGGGACATGAAGGGAAAGTACCTTAAATATAGTAGATAGGGTATTTTACTGAAAGAAGGCTATATGTTATTTTTAAAAGTTAGTAATTTGCATTTAAAGATTTTCTAAAAATTACTTGCCTCGTCTCGGAATCGAACCGACTTAAAGGTAAAAAAAACCACTACTTTTATGATGCCAATCGAATGAATGGTCAAAAACTAATGACTCTTCTTAAGTAACATAGTATTCATTTAAAGAAAAAACTTTTTAACCGGATTAAAGTTATGTATTATTATAAATTTACAATTATTTAACATAATGTTAAATTTAACCGACGTTTCGCGTGCTTTACAGCGTCACGGTTAAGCACGGTCACGGTGACTGAAGACAAAAGGTGTTGGATGTCAAAAAGTATCACAGCTGTAGAGAAAGTTGCATTATCTGTATTTATTTCCCCGGAGTTGGTATCGACTAAAAGATGGAGGGTTTTGGCAGAAATGACTCACGGTGTCCCAAATTTATAATAATACATAACTTTAATCCGGTTAAAAAGTTTTTTCTTTAAATGTGAAAAGGTTATGTCAATAAAAGACAATACTAAACATAGTATTAATTTATATTCTTCTTAAGTTATATATATATATATACTAGTGGACCCCACAGACGTTATCCTGCATGATATTTAAAGCGATTAGGATATTAAGCAAAGTATGAAAGTACCGACTGCATCTGCCGGGCTAATTTGGAAATCTAAACCATCCAGGAATCCACCCTAACGCATACAAAAACATCATTCCAATCGATCCAGCCGTTTAAGAGGATTTCAGTTAGATATACACGTACAGTAGAAGTATATATATATTTAAGCTATCCTATCTTTTAAGTTAGATCAGATCAAACCGCCAGATCCCCTTGAACACACACAAAAAATTTCATCAAAATCGGTCCAGTCGTTTGAGAGAAGTTCAGTCACATACACACGCACACAAGAAATATATATATTAAGATATCATAGTATATATTTCAGTAAAATACCCTATCTACGATATTTAAGGTACTTTCCCTTCATGTACCATAACTTTTGGACGACCTGTATACATTAAAATAGCTGTGTGCCTTTTTTTGGCCAAGGCCTCCAACTGTCTGCACTGTGCCACTCTTTGCCATGTATCAGGTATTTCTTAATCTGGCCTATCCACCTTCTATATTGTCTTCCTCTTTTGCGTTTCGAATTGTAAAGTTTAGTACTTTCTTGCTCCACGTTTATGTTCCTCATGCCATGAATACAAAAATAAATAACCTAATGGGCCAATAACGTAATTCGATTCCTGGCGTAATAATAATTGAGGCAGATTAAAGGTGGTCAAGGATTCCAATCGACGCTTTTATCTCGGCACTAAAACCCCGGACTAAAACGCTGTCAAGCCAAAAAAAATGGTCCATTTCGGATCCAAATGAATTCCTTCCATCACTAGGATTTATTAAATAATATTTTTTTTTTATAAATATGGGAGTCTTTCCTCCAAATTATTTTTGTTCGCTGTGGGTCGTGAGCTTCAAGTGCACAGACGCTAATTAAAGATTTAAGTTGGCGCCTGGTAGATAGTACCGATGACCCCAGAGCTGGTGCTTTCCTCAACGAAAAAGTATCGCAATTCAGTGAGGAAATGCTGCCAGTGATAAAGGAACACTGCCACAGGGACCAAACTTTTTAAATTTGTTTTAATTAAAAATTGTAAATACTGAATATTTGATTATTATTGTCTTAATAACCGGTCTATTCGTTGCATATTATTTTATAATTTTATTTAATAAATAAAAGTTTATTAATATAACGAATAATTTTTTTTAGATTTTATTTTGGGCCCGATTATCCAAAGCTGATAATGGAGAAGTATCATCATTCCAATTGGTAAGTTCTATTTGCAGTACTTACGATTTGATGCGTTGCTGTCTATAGCGATATATTATTGTTATTTATTTAAAGTGCTGTCAACTGTTAACAATAACTAACTAGAAACAAGAAAAATTGCACATCTTTCAAGAGTTTGCCAATGTTTTATAAATGATTACTAAATATGAATGTTGGGTATGGCAGAGAAGAATGAAAAGAAAAGCCGTGGAAATGTGAGAGTAACATTGCCTCCAGATAACCGTTTGACGATTATTATATTATATCTGTCGCAGCCAAGCGGCCTGAAACATATTCTGTGACATATCGAAAGTATAATAAACTAGTAGACTCGGCCAAGAGTTGCTGTGGCTAAGATTTTTGTTATATTACATAGTAGTAAACTATTCAAGAGAAACGGCAGGAGAACACCAATCCACCATGCTTTTTTGGTGGTTATGCCATTAAATTGTAGCTTATGTGAAAAGTATTTATTTTGATAAGGATCAATACCTAGGTACGAATAAAGAGCCTTCTCTAGCGGTGGTATTATAATAAAAAAATAATAATAAAAGGACGCTTATTGTGACGTAACTATAAAAGATAGAGACATGCTGTCGTGACATTTTTTATAGATAGTGATGTGTCCTGAAAAATTGTAATACATCATTTTGTTCTATCATTAATAGTTTTCGCAGCGCACACGATTGAAGGAAGTTTTTTGTTTATTTTTTTACACCTTGGGTTAGTTTATTCAAGTTTTAGTAAGCATCCCAAATTTTTTAAAAATGAAACATAGCCTATATCACTCGGGAATAGTGTAGCTTGCCAACGGTGAAAGAATTTTTGAAATCGGTCCAGTAGTTTCGGAGCCTATTCATTTCAAACAAACAAAAAATCAAACCTTTCCTCTTTATAATATTAGTATAGATAATAATATATTTCTTTAGGCACATTTAATTTATATGAAACATATAGGTATGCAAAAGAGCAAGGCTTTTTATTTGTTTATTTACCGGTCTGTAAACTTTATAAGTGATACAATTATTTATTAAAGTTCACCGTATACAGTATATGTTACAAGCTATCTCTTCTAAACTTCTAAATTAATTAACAAATAAATACTTTTTTTCCAGCTTGCAAGACTATCATTTCCAACAGTGGAGACAGTATGTATACTTTTATAATATGTCAAGTTTTGCGAAATATAATTTAATTATCTAAATACCCGAACATACTCATAAATACTCGTACATACTCATAAATACTCGTACTCATACTCGTACACGTAATGCGTGACAAAAAATGTGTTTATTCATTACTAGCAATGCCCCGCAGTTTCACTCGCATAGATAGTGATCTCGTGGTAGTGGAAAGTCTACTAAGTCGGACTATAGATATATTTTTGTTATCATTTTACTTAGTTTTTCATTACTTGGAATTACTATTAGACGTCAAGGCTAAATACAAAATACCATCCGTATCACCTCGACGTCCGTCGTTCCACAACAGAGCGTTTTCTAAGGCAGTTTTTCGCACCAACACTATGTGGAACTAGCTGCCCATAGAAGTATTTCCGAACCAATTCGACTTAGGGTCCTTCAAGAAAAGAGCGTACCAATTCTTGAAAGGCCGGCAACGCACTTAGGTTTAAAGACTTTATTTCTCAAAAAGACACAAAAATGTCACTTACATGAGAATAATACTCTAGATAACATAACATTGTAGTCGTTCTTAAAATAATTACAATAAAATATAGCCGTACATGCAATAAATTTAAAAATAAAAGTAAACAAAGAAATATGAATTTAAAAGTAATTTTGTTTAACATATTCACTTAGCTTCGATTTGAATGAATTGATAGAAGTAATATTTTTTACGCACTTGCGAGCCTTCTGGCATTGTGAGTGTCCATGGGCGGCGGTATCACTTAAAATCAGGTGAGCTTCCTGCCCGTTTGTTCTCCTATTACATAAAAAAAAAGAAAAAAATACTTCCTGATTATTAGTATACACTAAAATTAATTATCTAATCAATATACAGATGTTACTTTACATCAAATATAAATCTAATACATTTTTAAATCCGTAACAAAATTACGTAGAATGTCCGACATAGTAGTTGATAAAAGGGCCTGGGACTAGTGCTAGACAGGCTACTTCTAATTAATTTGCGATATTTGTTTTAAAATAAGTGTTGTTTGATGATTTGCTGTTTTAAAAGAGTACCGAGAGTTTTTTACGCCGGCTTTTTCTCTCGGCCTACACCCTCTGTCTTCTTTGCCGATGAGTAGGGATGCCTAAAAGTTCAAATTTAATGACGTGGAATAAGTGATACATGTATCTTATGTTCCATAATAAACATATTTTATTTATTTATTTATTTTAGTAAATTTAAAAATACTCTACCTCCTCGGAAATGCATTTCGTTTTCAAGCATAGACAATGTGTGGGTAATATGTGTAAAAAAGTAAATAATTACTGTTGACGTAATTTTTGGGAAAAGGGATACTCTTCTTTAATAAAATCCCTGAGGCTCTTTTATCTCTGCCTTTCAATAAATTTAAGAAATGTATTAAAGAAAAGCTGTGTAAAAAGGCTTACTATAAAGTCAACGATTATCTAGTTGATAAAAGGGCCTGGGACTAGTACTAGACAGGCAACTTCTAATTAATTTGCGATATTTGTTTTAAAATAAGTGTTGTTTGATGATTTGCTATTTTAAAAGAGTACCGAGAGCTTTTACGCCGGCTTTTTCTCTCGGCCTACACCCTCTGTCTTCTTTCCCGATGAGTAGGGATGCCCACAAATTCAAATTTAATGACGTGGAATAAGTGATACATGTATCTTATGTTCCATAATAAGCATATTTTATTTTATTTTTTATTTTAATCACTAAATAAGAAAAACACTTGAACCCCTATTCAGAGACCGGTGAGCAATACCCACTCAAACCACCTCCAGTAGTTCCTACAAAGCCGTGTTAGGCGCGAAACAGCCTGCGTAACGAGTCTTTGTGCGTCTCTTCGCCTCTTTGATATAATTTAAGTCGCATCCATGCCTTATCTATTCCACGCCGGCTCTGCGCCTTCACCTTACGCCTTTTCTGCCTGTTCTGTATGTTATCGCGCCTTACAGAGGCTCTCGTGTCGCTCTAGCATGTTACACTCAAAAACAACACGGAAATTTGTCGTTACAAAGTTTTTCCACCTCTTGGGTCGGAGCGTAGTGTGTTTTTTTTTTATTATTAACAATTATTCCAGAAACCCTACAACATGCCAAGCGCAAAAGAAATAGATCCGAGGCACAGCTACGCAGAGGAGAAATTCGACAATCTTCTGAAGTACACGACTTATATGAACGCACGGATTAAAGAGCCGCATAATCCAGTAAGTTTAGGCGGTCGTGTCCGCCTCACTATTATTACACATAGACATAACGTTTATTACTAACAAAACACACACGAAGAAATACACTTTAAAAATATAATTTTTATAATGTAATTCACCCTTCTCACTCTCAAGGCCGGCAACGCACTTGCGAGCCTTCTGGCAGTGTGAGTGTCCATGGAGGGCGGTATCACTTAACATCATGTGAGCCTCCTGCCCGTTGGCCTCCTATTACATAAAAAAGCAGTTTTTAATAATTACATCCGCATTACATGTTAAAAACTTTAAACATTTTCAGACAGAGCGACGTGAAATATTGGAATCGGCTGAAAAGAAGCTTTTTACCTTCGTCGACAGTCACATTAAGGACCTGAAGAGGCTGCTCTTCGCCACTGACATGGCGCTCATGTCTATGGTACTGCTGAAATTGAACAAGAAGATGGACACGTCGGAGGCGAAAATTAAATCAACCCAGGCCAAGATACCATTTGGATTGTACACGAGTCCAGGTAGGTATTTTAAGAACGGTCTTTTTACGGCCTCCCGGTCTATTCCCATCCTTTTCCTTGTGGTGACTGGTCGTACTTGAATTCGTGTATGCGGTGATGCTAGTAGTTTCGACTATGTATTTGCGTGTTGTTCCCACGAGAATGTAAGTGCGTGCTCCTATTTCACCATGCCTCCTGCTGATAGAGGACAAATCTTTGTTTTTCATTTATTTTATTATTATTAATTACTTAAGATGTCATGTGGAACATGGTGTAATAGTTGCAGCTTGGCGATTAAAGAGTGGCGGAGAGTTTATTGCCGGTTCTTCTTACCCGCTCAACGCCCTTGATTTGCGAACTGGTAGTAAATGTAAATTAATAAATTATTTAACTTCTTTTTGACGTTCATAAGTGTACTTGTTTACCTATTAGAATAAAGATATTTTGAGTTTGAGTTTGAAATTTAAAAAAATTCGTAGAAATAATACACATGGCAAAACGTTTACCGGGTCAGCTAGTAACGTATAAAGATAGTATATATATATATATGCTATATATAGCTTCATTACAGAGTTCAAATGTCTGGGAACATCGTACTACGTGGCGTCCGCACACAACCAAGAAGACGTCCAAATGATTTTGTCGAGTGAAAGAAAACCCCACTGCTATACTTTTAGAGGTATTTCAGTAATTAAAAACCATTTACATTGAAACTGCCAAAACAACTGAGCGACAATTAAGGCACCATGTAGAACCAGCTGCCCACTGAAGTAGTTCCGAACCAATTCGACTTAGGGTCGTTTAAGAAAAGAGCGTACCATTTCTTAAGGCCGGCAACGCAAAAGCCCTCTGGCAATGTGAATGAGCCACCTGCCCGTTTGCGTTGTTATAATAATAATAAAGCCCGATTAATTTCCAATCATGGCAAAAACAAATTATAATACACAGCTTAGAGTCTTTTAAATTTTTATACATTTTGTTCTTTTGCTTGTTATTCTATTTCCTAGCTTCCTTCAGTGCTGTCGATCGGAAAAAGGCTTCACGGGTAAAAGGCCTTCTCCAGCTTTTTCCAACTGACTATGGAAATGAAATGAAATGAAATAAATGAAATAGTTTATTCTTGCAAGTAGGACTATATAAATCCTTTACTGTCTTCCTAAACTAGAGAAGTCGACATTTCGGGGTCTTAGTCTCTTTTGTAGCCAGATAATTAATAAGCTCTCTTTCTCTCCAGCAGGAAACGATTCCTGCTACTGCTTCTATTTCTAACCACTTTTTTTGGGCGACCTACTCCTTCCTCTTGGTCCTTTCCATACAGTTGTCTTTAAGGTCCACCTATTATCTGTGTATCTTTACTATCGACTTTGGGCCTTTCAAGTACAGTACCAATACTTAAACGCATTGTAAGCCTTGGCTTCTGGCTTCATGCTCGATGATCATAGATGTTCGATGATCATGTTGCTATACGAAAAATATCGTAACATCGATGATAACTCACGGCCTCCCGGACGACCAATGCAACATACGACACAATATGTCTTCTATGAACGCAAAAAGCAAAGCAAAAGCACAAATCAATTCATTCTATACCCAGGTCGTTCCCTTTATTCGTTCTTCGTAGTCTTACTCGCTCTTTCTCTCTTACACTCCCTCACTACTATCTATCAACAAAGAAATATAATATTAAAAGGTTTTTCTTTTCTTTATCAAAATTACTTTTCATTCAGTCAGTTGATAAGAAATATCGGAATATAATTTCACTGTATTTTATTTCTGTGTCAATGTCAATGCAAAAATCATCGATATTTGGTTTTCGAAAACATCGAACATCGATTTTGGGCTTTCGATTATGCCATTGATGTCAATATCGATGTTTTTCTAACATCGATCATCCCTAATCTGGCATTGAGTGTCCATGGATGAGTAACATCAGGTGAGGCTCCTGCCCTGTCAATAAAAACAACTGACTATCGAACATAGGTAGTAATATATCCCAAGTTGACAAGACTACAAATCCTCTTTATATAATTAGATTGATTCTAAGTAAATTTAAAAGCATTTTTTCCTATTACTTTTGGCGTGGCAAATGTCGCCTTCAACCGAAATAACTGCTACTTCTATTTTTGTGACAGAGGCACAAACTATGGCTGCTGTAGTCTCTGGCAGATGACCAGCGCTGTGGAACAGTTTACTCCTCAACATAATGCAGGGCAACCACAGCACACACGCATTACACACTTTAAACGTACCAAGTTCTTTAAAAGAAAAAAAATTGTTGTCTCATCCTTTTTTATTTTTTTCTTTGATTATTTTATTTTGTGTGTTTTGTTAGTAATAAATGTTACGTCTTTGTCTATATTTAATTTAAAATGTTTCTATAGGCGCATTTGCGTTCTCCGGCTTCTACCATAGACACTCAGAGACGACGTATGTTGGGCCTCATGCGGAACAATTTCAGGCAAAGGACCCGAGCCAAGGTCTCTACTGCCACTCTGATGATAGCTGGAGTGACGCGCAGTGCATTTATAAGTAATGTTAATTCTTAGAATTTTTTTTAATTGTTGTCTGCTAGTCCCGCGTGAAATTCGCGCCCTTCAGCCGCACTGAAGGTCATGCATGCTATGCTGAGCCAGGCCCAATTACAACCAGACCTAAAACGTCCCTTGATCTTTAAAAGAAAAATTTTTTTATCTTTCATTCCTTTTTATTATTGCTATTTTCTGTGTTTCTGTGTGTTTTGTTAGTTATAATGTTATGTCTATGAAAAAATAGTGAAGTGTCGACGAATCCGATCGCATAAAACATGGTTTTAGGCCTTCACAAGAAAGAAGAATCACCCCATATACGCTTTCTTTCAGAATAAATCCGCGCGAAGAATTCCCTGAATCCGTCGAGTATGAACCGAAGGTGTCCTACTGGTGTGGTCCGTACCGGTACTTCATCCCAGCCACGACTGACATACGCTGTATTTTCTCTATATTCTCTATGAATTTCATTCTGAGATTTGGGTATGATGGCGTGACGTATAAAAGCTCGGATCTGTCATTTGTAAGTCAATCTTAATATATATATATATATATAAATATAATATATATATACACGTAATTATATATAAATATATATATATAAATTACGTGTCACGTTGTTTGTCCGCTATGGGCTCCTAAACTACCGAACCGATATCAATCAAATTTGCACACCGTGTGTAGTTTGATCCAACTTAAAAGATAGGATAGCTTACATCTCAATTTATACCCGCAATATTATTTTATTGCAAATTATTTGTTTATTATTTGACAGTCACAATTCTAACAGATGGCGCTGTGTTGAAAGTACCAACGTTTCACAAAGATACAATTTAATGGCATAACCACCAAAAAAAGCATGGTGGTCCCCATGACTGGTGTTCTCCTACCGTTTCCCTTGAATAGTTTGCTACTATGTAATATAAGAAAAACCTTAGCCGCAGCAACGCTTGGCCGGTCTGCTAGTTGTCATATATTTATCATTCGTACATATCAATCACACATGATGTATAGTGAGATGCGGCCTATTGGAACGCCTGTCCAGGTGATGCCTATACTCATCTATCTAGGGGAGATGAAAGGGGAGTTCCACTCCTTTGCTGTTACAAGAAATGATGATGCAAATCTTGTAGTGCACCTGGGGATGTCAACAGCGAAAGGCTTGAACTAGCGTGCTTTGGTGAAGGAAACAGGCACACAGAATGATCACCAACTTGATTAGAAAAACAAGTGATAACGATACAAAAATCTGAAGTCCAGATCTAAATAGGTTGTAGCGCCGCTGTTTATTTTTTATTTTTAATAAAACTCTTGCGCATAATTCCAGATGTACCAAAACGGACAAGTATTTTACACGGACGAGCCGTGGGCTGGAATGTCCTGTTGGAACTGGGCCTGTAAATGGAGACACAACCAGAACCAGCGATCCAACGAGTTCTTTGTTAATTAAATTATTTTGCAACTATTTTTTATTAATTATCTATGATCTAAAATGTCAACATCAGTTGCAAGAGCTGTCAAGCCGTTTTTACTGTATCAAGATTGACATATTTGAGAGCGGTCAAGACGGGACTTTAGCTTAAGATACCAATTAGAATATGGGGGGCCTCATAGCCTAGCGGTCTTTTTAAGTGGCAGCTAGGTGAGGGGTACCGGGTTCAGTTTCCGGTTCGAGGGCAAGTTTTAATTTAATTTAAATTTGTTCTCGGCCTTTGGGAGGGTTGTGCGGTACCGGGCGAGTGCCTAAACCGTACATGGAGGACACGGTCGAATTTCTAAAAGACAAGCGCGAATTATAAAAAATCCTATACTTGACGCTGGCTAATGCACAAATCGTGCCAGAGCCATAAAAAAAATTAGAATATGGATTATTAAGATACAGATTCGAGACTTAGTATGACTCCTGACAGAAACCTATTGGATTTGATGTACAGTGTAAACTCTTTATAACGTAATTAGTTCTAACGAACACCTCTCTATAACGAAAGACTGGATACATTTGTGTGATATAACACAAACCCCTTATTCACTCTTTATAACGCAACGTACACACTCTATAGCAATATACTTAAGTGTAATTGTTTTTATAATCAGCTTACAAAACTTAACTTTTGAGGTAACAAAATTTCTAAGAAAGACACCTGAGGTCATGAACAGCCGCCTCACCTTTGTTATTGTTAATTGCATTACCACGTGTGCCATTATTCTAAATATATTGCCTGTAGGAAATTTTGGTCTCAGTTACTAAACGCACCGTCACCTATCGTGTATTATCGTAAACAACCTTTGGATCTGTCAAGATGGCCAGTAAAAGAAAAGAGTTATGTATTTAGAATAATTTACCTATTGATAGTAATAAAATTAGAAATTATTGTAATTGGTTAAATTTGTTTTTTTTCTCTTTACTCCCTATAACGAAAAGATGCTTGGTTCCTTAAAATTCGTTATAAAGAGTTTACACTGTATGTGAGTCAAAACTTAGGACTAAGTATGATTAGCGTGTCAAAACCGTATTGGATTTGACACGTCATATGAGTCAAAACTAAGAGCTTATTATGACTGGTATGTAACAGAAACATAAGATTTTGACATACAATACTTATTTGCATTTACTTTAATTCAATTAAAATAAATAAATTTAATAGTTATACAGAATAAAAGAGGGAGAAAAGGAGGAAAAAAGGGGGGGGAGGAATTGGGGGGGGGGGGGGGGGGGGGGAGGGGGTTTCAAGGGGGGGGGGCCAAAGTCCGGGGAGGATTGGCGGGAGGGGGGCACGTCCCCCCCGATTGACCGGACAATTTTTTATTATTTTTTTATTATTTAAAAACAAATATATATGGGTTTTTCCTGTATTTTGGGTTTTTAGTTGACATACTTGCAGTTGGGTTACGATGTAGAAAATAAAACACTCAGTATAAAACATAACATATATTCAGAACTAAGTGTATAATATAACAACTTACATATATTTGTACATTATATAAAGCTATAAATCTACAAACACCCATACAATAGTCTATCTGGAATAGCCACAGACAATATTCGCATATACTCGGCTGGAAATATTGCCCAAGATTCAACTTTGTCGTAATCTGTGATGACATTTGACATGACGCGTTTTTAATAAGAAACGGAAACGGAAAGTCAAAGTTGTATTTTTCAAAATGGCGAACCGTTGAATTAACATTTTACTAAATATTTTTCTACGAGATTGTAAGATATACAAAATATTGTCAAACGATTTTATTCTTATCTAAACCATAAACAATAAATTAAATGTATTCTTTAATTTATGATTTATGCATAAAATCATGCATTAAACTCTTGCTATTTTTAGTGACACTTCATATAGTTGTCTCTTTTATTTGTATAACAACAACGCACGTGCGACAGAGACAGCTACATCAACTGCGTCGTAGTGATTACCAAATCTTTAAGACGCAATATTTAAAGCCGACTTCTCCATATAATTTAAAATCTATTTATTAACTATTACACGTCACAAGATTATTACTGACAGGCTTCCAATAGCGATACCGACATCCCAATACTGTTGTTTCCATCAGCTACATTGAGACTACACTGAACTTTCATACGAATTTATACTAGGAAACTGACACGTCATGTTAGCTATTTCCGTAAATAGATGGCGCTATTCTTAAAAAGGAGTTATAAAAAAAAAGTGGGATTATATTGCGACATAAAATTCTTAATGCTTTTATCCGATGCGCAAGCGCATCTCTGGTGACAGTCATCACCTAGCGGGGGCGTACTATATAATAGCGGTAAGACTGGGATGTCCATGGGTCATTGCATGTGCCCTTTTTAATTTAATATTTGAATATAGTTTAAAGCTAACAAATATAATATTTACGACAACTTTGTAACTAATACAATAACCACATGTACCCAACAATTGACCTTCATCGCATGGGCCAAGGTCGGTAAAGGAAGCTCATCAGACTGGCTGGTGATTAGCTGCAATTAGCGGAAGTTTCAGGACGGGAGCTGAATGGTTGGTTTCGGAAGCCACTTTTCGGGTCGCCACCGGAGAAATACCTGTTTCCCGTTATTGTAAAACCCATGGCCGATATTGAATTATTGGTGTCGTCATTGGAATCGCTATAAATTACAGACCCAACTCTGGGGTCACCAGTCCATTGCTTGGAGAATTTCCTTGGAAACAATTTTGCTAACTTTTAAAATTAACCAGTTTCAAAGCGAGTGAATTTTAATTCGCCAAAAAATAAATGCTACAAAGATATTTTCAAAGGAAAAAGTCCAAAGCTGCAATTAACCAATTATTATTATATTTACTCTAAATCTATCTATACAGAAAAAAAGCTCTCGAAACTAGATAATTTGACGTTTAGAATACAGGTATAAAGGTGGACATTTTTGGCTTATGGCACAGTTCAGTGGGTACTACAAATCACGTGACCATGCCCATACAAATTCCTTTGGGGTTCCTTTGGGTCATCATTGTCGCAAAGTGTTTTTGTCTATAATTAAAATTGACCACTGACATACTACCGTCAAAGTCACCCATTTGACACTGTCATAATGACAGTTAGAGAACATTTTGACATTGACAGTACCGCACAACTTTGACATATACCGACTTGTTACGTTAAAACATTCACTATAACAGTTAATCGACCCATCATTTAAGGTTCTGTAAAACTTTATTCTACTACAAATAATACTGTGCATGCATGTAAAAAACCATGGGATTGAGAGAATATCGCTTCTCAACAGTCGTGACTGACTAACGCCAAACGAATGTATGAAAATGGTCACGTGATCGTGAGCTAATATCATCGCCATACAAATTCCTTTGGCGTTATGGGACACGAACGTCGCAGTGTTTCTATCTCAAGCCCCTGGTAGAGTAAATCGACCACTCGACACAGTCCGTCAGTCACATTTGATACAATCAAATGACAGTTACAGTGCTGTCAAAACCGACCGTTTTGACAGTGACAGTACCGTTGAAATCAACAAATATGACACAGTACCGAACATCATTCACATGTTTGACAGTGAAATTCATAGTTAAATGAACTTCGACATACAAACAGGAACACCGTCAGATTATTTCACCGTGTCAGCATTTTTGACAGGTCTATACAAAATAATAGAAAGGATACAGATATCTCCACCAGCTTCCGTTTCCGTTGTCTTCATTGTTGACTTCCGTTGTATCCTAAAATATACAAACAATATACAAACTAAAGAAGCGTTCAAGTATTACGTCCAGCAATTTTTGGAGATTATTGACAAATGTAACGCGCCGTAACGTTATTCCAATAGTAAAACGTTTCGTGGCCACCCAGTGACTCTTTATACCTAAAAGTTACCATTTTGTGGTGTAAAGTACTGGAAAGTCGAAAATAATATTAAAAATAACGCGTAATTCAATCCCGGCCCCGCATCGTAACGTTTTACAAAAGGACCCCTCCCCCCCAAAATTCGTTACGTAATACTTGAACGCTCTCTAACGCACCGTAACGTTTTTCTGTATTCCAATAGTAAAACGTTTCGTGGCCACCCAGTGACTCTTTATACCTAAAAGTTACCATTATGTGGTGTAAAGTACTGGAAAGTCGAAAATAATATTAACAATAACGCGTAATTCAATCCCCGCCCCGCAGCGTTACGTTTTATAAAAGGACCCCCCCCTAAAATTCGTTACGTAATACTTGAACGCTCCCTAATATGTTATGGGATGCTACTTGTGTGGAAACGTAGGGCCCGTCTCACCTCGACAAAAGCTGGCGGAATTTAAACGGCTCAAAAAGTCTTTTCTCCAATTTTTTTTCTACAGTAGGGACTCGGGCCGTGGGGTTCAAGTGCACAGCTAATTAATGATTTAAGTTGGCGCCTGGTAGGTTACCCCAGAGCTGGTGCATTCCTCAAAGAATAAGTACCGCAATGCGAGGAAATTCCCGCGTTAAAGGTCCATCCATTACTAATTATTATTACTATCTAGGATAAGAATATTGTTAATACTGTATATTTGTGGTTGTCGACTACCGGTGGGGTTCTTCCCGACCTCCCATTGTTTATGGGGTTTACTCCTCGCTCAAAGACTGGTAACACCCCTTTTCGGTCGTCTCGTAAAACTCGTTTGCCCCCCTACACTATACAAAAACTAACCCCAAAAAGTACAGTATAACTCCTAACTTACTTAGTTAATTACTAACTACCATGAAATAAATGGACAAGGGTAAGATTCATAGCGAATTCATTCAGATTGTGATGTTTTATTGCCAGTTCTTCTCTTCCGTTCTACGCCCCTGATTTGAGAACTGGCAGTAAATATAAAATTAGAAGCATTTAATATGTATTTATTTTAACTTTATTTCTCATTACAAAAATTATTTTTTATTTACATGAGAAATTTAATATGTATATATGAACGAGATACACGTCGCCATCAGCTAGCCCAATTTTAGTCTAATGGGCTCATTCTGATGTGTATCTTTAATGCCCTTTTGAACTGATTAATCACGCTAACGTTACGAACCTTAAGGTGCGTACAGACTATATAACATAACATGTTATACAACATTGCTATACAGCATGTTTCAGATAATGTGGACACTGAATGTTATAAAACATGTTATTGATATGTATGCTAGGACGAACGCAGCACATACGTTTTTTTGTTTTTCTTTTGTTATTTAAAATGGTTATATAACATTGTTATCTTGCATTGTTATTCTAATGTATACAGTATTGTTTTATGTTATAATGTTGAATAACAAGGTTACATATTGTGGACGTGTTATAAAACACAAGTTATATAATATGTTACATAGTATGTACGCACCCTAAGACGGCTACTGATTAAACAATTGCACACCCTCATACCTAATAGACCTCTTTAAATAATTTGTGCGTGGCTTTGGCAAGACAAGCAAACTCGCTCGACGAGTATTGCGTGTAGTGGTGTATTTGATTTTATTAAATGATAAGTTACTATGTAGAGAGTTATTTAATTTTTTTTTAATAAGGATACAGGTGCTATAAACATTGTGTTGTACAAAAAATGGTCGGCAGTGACGAGGTATGGAATGCAGTGGTATCCTTCTGTGAGCATGTCATGCTACAGAAGGAGACAGCAGAACGAGAGAGGGAGCGCTTTAGGACGAATCCTAGGGGTAGAAGACGGGGAGTAAATAGAAGAAGATATGCCCATCTCCTACCTCCTATGTAGTGTATACTGCACCGGAGGTTTTTAAGTGTAACATGCCGTTGAGGTCCCGGTAGAATGCGACAGCAACCCCGGAGCCTCTGTAACGCGGCTTTGTCGGAACTACTCGAGGTGGTTTTAGTGGGTATTGCTCACCCAGTCTCTGAATAGCAGAGATTTTGGCGTGGGTCGAGTCCCACATACCCCTGTTCAGTGGATGCGCAAATGCATTTCCACCTCGGATATTTAAAAAAAAAAAAAAAAAAAAGGTGCTATAAACATATAATTGTTTAATCGTCATAATTTGGGTTTCTTGGTAGATTTTATTAGTAGGTGTTAAAAAATTGTATCTAAATAGTGATTGTATTAATTCATTTTGTAGTGTTTGTATTTTAGAAATTTTGTTTTTGCATGCTGTACCCCCTATTTCAGTGAACGAAACAGTTTTGTGAGCTACGCTTTATTGCGTACGCGCCGATGCGACGCTAGAATAAAGCTGGCGTGAGTCATATTAATTAATCGCTTAGTGCAATTTAAAGGCGAAAGCGGAGCGGAGCAAAAAATAAGGGTCGGCCCAATTATAAATTCATATTCAATTTTGTGTTTTCCCAAAGTGAATTTATAAGATGCCAAAGGGTTCACCCCCTCTCCTATGGCCAATAAATCACAAAGTGTTTCTGAGCCAAACGTCGACAAAATGGAAACTTTTCAAAACCTTTGGTGAAAAACCACCGAGCTATGTTCAACAACGTCAAAAAGGGTAGAGGCATGGATTGAGGATGAATTATTAAGTTTTAAAAAGAGATGAAAGGCATGATTAAGTCAGTTGCGGAACAACAAAAGAGCTTAAAAATAAGTGCAAAGATAGAAGAGTAATACCAACAAGAAAGCTTGCACCTCTCACGCAACATAAACCTTAGGAAGAAAATAGAACAGCTTGAAGTACGTTTAAAGCAAGAAGAGAACAAATTATAATTTTAGAGGACAAGCTTGAGGAATTGCAGGGGAACAACGTAAGGTTAATGAAATAAAAATATGCCAAAACTACCCACAGAATAAAGGAAGACTTAAAAACAGTTGTAAGCTTATCAAATCCCTGAAAGCGAAAAAAGATGATACAAAGACATATACAGGCTAAAAGGGTTCTAATAAAACGAATACTCAATAATTAGTTATATCCTCGATTCTTAAATCAATTTATAAAATCTTGTAACCCACAAAAATAAAGAAAAGTACGAGCGAAGCATTGGGACTACTAAAAATGAAGAAACTGAGTGTTTATTCGAGAGTACGAAGGCGCAAGACTACACTTCTCTCGCGATCTAGCTAAATCAAAAGACTAAAGTTTGTATTTTAAGTGTTTATAAAGAAGAAACCCCTAATTAAGGTCAAAACGAATACAGGTAAAGCCCAAGGCATGACTCTTTAACTATTCCTTTTTGTAAAATTTTTTTCTTGTTATCCATTATTAAACAGTTTTTAAAACAATATCACCTACATACATATACTATTTACACTCAGACTTACACTCACATATATTAAACACTATTTAGTGCATCTCACTTTATCTATGGTATGCTAAAACAGTAAAGTGATTATAAACATTATAATCTGGCTTTACTGCGAATTCTTTCCCAAGTAAATTATAATTTCTGAAGGACGGAAAGTATTGGTTACTATTTATGGATAGTAGACTACAATATGTACGAATTAGATAACATACAAATAGCCCAATCTAATGTCATACTATAAATGACTTTTCAAGACAGACAACCATAAAAAATTGATTTCAGATAATATCACAAAATATAAGAAGCATTTACAATAATTTATATCTTTAATACTTATTGAGTCAAATAGTGATGAAAAATAGAGATACCCAGCTATACCCCAAATGATAACTAATATTCGTTACAACGCATTAAATGTATATGGGTAGTTTCTACATAAAATGAACCATAAAACTATCGTTAAGAAATAAATTTAAAACATGATTTGTTAAAGTCAAAGAGTAATAACCATGTGTGTATTATGTCCCCGTCTAACTAAGTGAAAATTTTATAGATTATTAAATAGTATTAGTAATTTAAAATAGAATAAATTATAATAAAGGAGACATCAAATAAATCTAATACAAAATCCAGTGAAAATAGGAGCGCTCCGACCGATTACATACCTCATTGCTAGCCATGCATGGCCGCTCCCGGTCATACACTGCCTACTCGAGATAGCATTGCATAGATCATTTCATATAAAACTTGATAGGTCATAGGTAATGTGCGTCTATTACCGTTATTATTTAAGTATGATACAAAATGTTATTTTAAACTATCCTACCTTAAGTCATACAATATGAAAAAAATCTTCAATCAAAGGAAGGGCTTTAAGTTATTTAAAAAACAGCAAATAAATGATCTAATTTACTATAATAACCCTATAATCTTAACTAATAAATTAATATCTATTTTAAAGCGGTGTATTCAATCCAATACTATCACTAGAGCTATCCCGAATAGGGAAGCTTATTAAACCAGGATTACCTTAGGAATTGTTAGATGTATTGTAAAAAATGTATGCAAGCAAACTCCGAGCTGATCCTCATAATGAAATTTTAAAATTACATAAGGAGATATAGGAATTTCTGCAATATTTAATAAAGAAAGTCAAAGTAAATATGAAAAAAAGACCTTGCAAAGTATAAAAACCCAAAACTTGTGGAAGAAAATAAATACCCTCACTTATCGTAACCAACTAAAACGCAAAATTAGAATTACTAAATTAAATGTTTCTTAAAAATGGTTAATTTGGTAACGATTATTTTTCAAAATTGAAAACTAGAAAGAGATAATCAGTTAGTTAAAAAAAAGAGTGAAGACCCTTCCCAGGTCTCGTCTTTTGTGCTTCTAGAAACTGACCCTCATGAAGTATACTACTATGTGAGTCTCAAAACTAAGTTGGCTGGGATGGTAAGCCAAGTTTCAAATATACTAGGGAGCTAGTTGTGCCCAAATTACTCATTTGGTTAATCTCTGCGAAGGGAGTGTTTCCACCTGCGCTAAAACAAGAATTATTACACCTTGAAGAATGGTAACAAGAAGATGTTTAAATTATCGCCCAATCTCGTTCTATGCCAATAAAAGTACTGAAAATTAATTAATAAAAGACTAATTACTATCCAGTATATCTACTTAGACTCAAAGGAAAGTAAGAAGATGCAGTTACTACTATTTGTATATTGAATGAAGTTGATAAAGGTAATAAATGTATAAGTTTTTATGACTTAAAAAGGCATTTGATAGGTTGTTAAGAGATAGAGAAAGGAAGGGATCATAATGTGTGAACTAGAACGAAAGAAGAGTAAAATAGGTAATAATAGGAAAATGAGTAAAGGGTCCAAGGAGGTCTGGGGCCGACCTTATTCTTAATCTACATAAACAGCTTATGCGATTTAAGAATTGATAGTGGGAAAGTCTACTCCTACGCGGATGACACTGCTGTTGTCTTCACTGGGAAAACTATTGACTCGGTGGTCGACATACAGAAATAGGGCTTTCCAAAATAGATAATGGTTAGAGAAAACTTATTATCATTAAAGTAAGTAAAACTAATACATTTTCTTCTAAATAAAAGCCACCTAAAAATTAAAAAAAAATAATAATAGACAGAGTAAATGTAATGTAAAATATAAATAAAGTTATCAATAAAATTAGGAGTGGTAGTTGATAAAGAATAGGATGAGACCTAGAAAAGTTATAAGTAGGATTCGGGCTTATTTGGACATTTAAAACTCTAAGGACATCGTGACAAACATCTACTAATACAGATATACATGCTGGCTCATCAATTTTAGTGTATGTATCCAGTTTGGGGGTGAAAAGATGAAGTTTGATTAGAGGGCACAAAGAATTTTATAAAAGTAATGATGTTTAAGCTTATAGATTTTCATTATTATTTGGTGTCTTATGGTAGGCAATGTACATTTTTTGCACTACTTAAGATTGAAAGTCTTTAAATATGATGGTCGAAATGAGAAAAGACGCAAATATATGTTGCTTGTGAGAGTCTAAATAGTTGTATGAGACAATTTAATGAAGTGTAAACTTTATAATAAATTAAATAAAATATTAAATATATACACATTGAATAAACATGAATGTAAAAGTTACTTAAATTAGAAACATTTAGTATGAAGAATGAAGCTTTGTAGGTAATATGAATATAATAATAGTAATTAGTCAACTTCTACAATAGTATGAAAATTCATTCTCATAAACACACAAACAACACACACAATAACATACACAATATATCATTATTAATTTTAACCTTAGATTATGTTTAGTAAATTGTAAAATTAATACTTAGTTATATAGTGTTAAATTAAATATAATTAGTTGGTAACCTATGTAATGGAAGAGCGGGTTCTCTAAACAAGTGTAGGTAAAAGGAGGTCAAACTTATAAGAAAACTGAGATAACGAAAAAAAAAAAAAAAAAAAAAAAATATTTCAATTAGGTATATGAAATGTGGCTTGACTAAACAATTATTATAAATCAAATGACGTACAGCCCTGCGATTCTGTAACTCACTTTTCGAACTCAAAGCGGTTTTCGCATCGGCGGTCGCGCTCAAATCAGTCGTGAAGCAGTCATTTTATGATTTGGCATTCTAATAAACAATAAACTACAAGTCCCACCTTTTCAGAATGCCAAATATAAAATACTCTTACTGTGAAATGCGAAAACCGCTGTGTGAGTTCGAAAAGTGAGTTACAGAATCGCAGGGCAGATTGCGGAATGCATTTTGATATTGACCAAAATCTGCCTATCAGTTGTATGATTTTAGTTTGGTAATTATGTGTGATATATGAAGTGTACAATGTGTTACCTAAATGAATAAATGATTTTTAATTTGAATTTGAAAACAATGGACATGGAGAGGCGAACGCAACCTGCTGCTGTTAGGCGGGCGGGATGTGGTCCGCCTAAGGCGATTGGTGACGCCTTGGGGTTTTAGTGGGTATGGATCTTACCCTACACAATGGTTATGTGCCGTTAATGGTCTAACTATAAAAACCTAGATTTCTACTAAAAATATAACATACAGTTAACTTCTGTCCCTTGGTGTTCTTCAGAATTCTTGGACATGGAAAGATATTTTAATTTAATTCTTATAAATTCTCTCGACAATCGAGCTGTGGTAGACCCCACAAAGGGCTACAGACCCGCGCCGTACCGCTCTGTATTAACAGGGCGCGAACCAACACACCACCCGAAGGGGGCATTCGACCTAAACACCTCCCTCGCGAAGGAGGGTGTAACAAGAGCAATGAAGGCTATGGTAGAACTCTAAATGTCGACGCTATATAAAATATCTAAGTAACATTCACGAAAGCAGAAGTGTTGGCAGTGGCTTCAACGTGATATCTTCCCTGGAGTTAGGTTCGATCCCCGGCTGCACCAACCGACATGCCTTAGACCCGAAAAGTTGGTGTTTCAGGCACAGAAGGATGATCCTACCTTCTAACCTAACCTACCCTGCCTATTAGAAATGACGAAACAGATAAAGAAATCTGAGGCTCAGACTTAATTGTAAGATTAGTTTTTAAGTTTTTAGTTTATTATTAATATTTTATTTTTTTGTATTACTTTAGATTAAGGATTCTGCACTTCTCGCACGCATCATGTGTCTTTTTTTTTAGTTTTTCTCTTAACTAGGGTTGCCTGGAAGAGATCGCTTATTAGCGATAAGGCCGCCCGTTGCATCCCTTATAATTTTTATGTATTGTGTTTCTTATATTATTAGCAACGAAGTGTAAATAAATAAATAAATAAAAGGAAGTAGCGCCATTGGCCATAACATTCATGCAAAATATACTCACTTTTTCCTCTTTTTCCTCTTCACTTTCCCCCCGTTCACTTGGTTTAACACTTTCTTTCTTTTCAGTATCCCCTGATGCTTCACTTTGGGCTTCATCTTTGCCTTCCACATTTTCTTTGACTTTCTCATTGTTCTCTGTATTCGTTGTTTCCTCTGTTTTAACAATTTTATCATCATTTATATCCGTCTGTGTTTCTTTATCTTTCTTTTCCGTATCGCACTCTAAATCTGGACCTAATTTTGACGACTGAAAAATTATTTTAATAAAATTATGGGTACACGGAATCAAAACTGTCGATTTAAAACTACCATATGTACAACATCACTACATAATCATTATATACAGGGTGGTCAAAAAGTCGTGGATCAAACGCAAATAGGGGATAGATGAGGTCATCAGCTGCAAAAAATTGTTCTACGGAAGGTCTCTAAGCTCAACCCCTGCAGAGTTATAATTTCTTTTGCATTTTTATAAGAAGATTGATTTTTCTACTAATTCTTATTAAAATTAGAAAAAATCTACTTCCTGCATCTTTTTCATAATATCTACTAGATTGGTACTGATGAGTTCTTGCGTTAGACATTTCGACGATTTAAACAGATGGTCCTTCGGTACGGAATGATATGATTTCAAAATTAACAGCGACACGAAACTTTCTACTATGCCTATGCCTTAGCCAACTAAAGTTAAATGACTAAAATAATGAAGAGGATAAACCAAACGAGACTTGAAAACATGAAAAAAACTTCTTAAGAACAAGCTTTACGGAAGTTAAGCAAAATATCCTCGTTTAACTGAATTGAAACACAAAGCATTGTATTGACACAACTTAAAAAAAAATTATAATCTTCTTCAAAATTCCCCGGCCAATTATCTAAAAAATCTTACATATGCTGCAATTAGCTAATCAAACCAGTCAAGTTCGTCCAAGCAAATCAGTAAATAAAAAAAATTATGGAATTTAAAAAGCTTTTGAATGACATCACAATTCAATAATATCCCAATGGGGAATATGAAGAGTTAAAAAAACGTTACCTCCATATCCTGTTCGTTTATTTGTTCAACGTTCTCTTCGAAACTTACTTCGTCCGGGCCAAATGGTGTGAAGTCTGGTAAATCCTGAAAAAATACGCAACAGTTTAGTGAATGATACACCAAGAACCTTCTAACCCAGAGTTTCCTAAGCATTTTTGTGCCATGCCCAACTACAACGCGGTCCGTGGCTACCGCGTTATAGCGTTTACTGTATTTGCTTCAGTTCAACAGAGTATATCTATTTCGTACATTTTTGATGTCTGGATTTATTTGGAATTAAAAATCGGCCATTTAAGCGGATTTTAAAACGAGTTTACCATTTCCTGTTCATGTATCACACAGACCAAAAGATTTATTCTGAATTAACTTCGAGAAAACATAAGCTAAATCATGGGAGTTACGCCCCGAGAGTATAGCCAGACGTAGACACTCTCTTCAACTGTTACTTTGCATTCATTTGTTTCATAGCAATTTACTAAATCATGGGAGTTACGCCCCGAGAGTAAAGCCAGACGCAAGCACTCTCTTCCACTGTTACTTTGGATTCATTTGTTTCATAGCAATTTACTAAATCATGGGAGTTACGCCCCGAGAGTAAAGCCAGACGCAAGCACTCTCTTCAACTGTTACTTTGGATTCATTTGTTTCATAGCAATTTACAAAATGATGGGAGTTACGCCCCGAGAGTAAAGCCAGACGCAAGCACTCTCTTCAACTGTTACTTTGGATTCATTTGTTTCATAGCAATTTACTAAATCATGGGAGTTACGCCCCGAGAGTAAAGCCAGACGCAAGACTCTCTTCAACTGTACTTTGGATTCATTTGTTTCATAGCAATTTACAAAATGATGGGAGTTACGCCCCGAGAGTAAAGCCAGACGCAAGCACTCTCTTCAACTGTTACTTTGGATTCATTTGTTTCATAGCAATTTACTAAATCATGGGAGTTACGCCCCGAGAGTAAAGCCAGACGCAAGCACTCTCTTCAACGGTTACTTTGGATTCATTTGTTACATAGCAATTAACATTTCATTATTACGCTTATATGCAAGAAAATTATAGAGTAAATATAAAATCCTCTATCTAATTTAAAGCATCCCTAACACCCAGGATCCGTACAATGAGGAACAATTTTAAACTCAAAATCTACATAAATGCAGGACGCAGAAGGGTGATCTTGCCAACAGAATGAGAGAGAAAAGATGGTCGCCACCCCATTGGATGATGGAATATTACCAGTCTACTCCTCCGCTGCGTCCAATTCTAAATGCAGCATGCATGTACATGTTAGTTACAAAAAACGATGTATTTCTATTAGTAATTATAGAAACCAGGCTATGTATGTCAAATCCAGCCACAACAAGTGTGTCAAAAACGTATTGGATTTGACATATAGGTGTCATACTTAGCGCTAAGTGTTAAAATCGTATTGGATGATGGTGATTGTGGTGGTGGTGGTGATCATCATGATCATAATTATGATGTTAATGATGATCGTGATTATGATAAAGTTGGTGATGACAAAGGTGGCGGTGATGGTAGTGGTAGTGGTAATCATGATCATGATGGTTGTGATGATGGTGTTGGTGATGATGATGATAGGGAAGTTGTTTTTATGTAAAAGGAGGCAAACGAGGAGGCTCATCTGATGTTAAGTGATACCGTCGCCCATGGACACTCACATTGCCAGAAGGCTCACAAGTGCGTTGCCGGTCTTTGATTGTGGTGGGGATATTTCCGTGTGCAAGTATGAGAGTATGTGTGTCTATATACTTATAAATATGTATTGTACGAAGAAATATTTTTTTAATACAACATTACCTGTTTACCCCTCCGATCCGCCCAGCTTCTATATTCCGTGGCTGCCCTTCTCATTTTCAACAAGTAGTCGGGGGCGGCACGACTCGACGCCCAAGCGGCGACCCCGCCCGGCATCCCGCCCACGGCCGGCTCATCGTAGTACGTTAGAACGAACTCCATACCGGGCTGTACATAAAAGGAACAGATCACATCGAACCCAGGTACACATCAATGGACCTTTCGAGGCTGATCACCTACTTGGCTTAGGGGCCGTTCAAATGTTATGTAAGCAGATTTACTTCAATTGATCCCCCCCCCCTCCCAACCCCTAAAAGTCAGCAAAAGTAAGCAAAGCTCTCAAAAAGTAGACAAACGTATTAATTTTTTGTAGGAATACTCGAAAATGCATTTGGTTTAAAGCATAGACAATGTGTGGGTAATATGTGTATAAATAATTACTGTTAACGTAATCACCAAATAAGAAAATCAAAGAACCCCCCCAACCCCCTTCCCCCTATTGTGCTGACGTAATACTTGAAATTATAAAAATGCTGCCCAGACCTAAAAAGTTGTAGCGCCAATTATTACCTCACATTAGTTAAATTACGTTAAATAGCCATGGAGCGAGAGTAGGGAGCAAGCAAGTGAGCGATATCGAGAGAGAAAGAGAGAGAGAAAGAGAGAGAGAAATAGAGATAGAAGAGATAGAGAAAGAGAGAGCGAAAGATAGAGAGAACGAGATTGAGATAGAGCGAACGTCACATCACGCACAATGCCATGGAGCGAGAGGTGGGAGAGAGCTATAGTGAGAAAGATTGAGAGAGAAAAAAGTAGTAGTTACATATTAGAACTTTAGATGCCAATTCTGTCGCATAACGTCTTGTGCAGTAAACGCAGATTTTTTATTTATTTATATTTATATTATCATTAGCACGTATACAGTGTGTAAACAGTGTAAATATAGATATACAAATACATGGAGTGATCATATACTGGTACATGATCATCTATTGGGGCTTTTACCTTAGTAATAAATCATTTACAAAGAAGTTTCACTTCTAACATGTTTACGTTGTACGCACGCACTTCTTTGAAGTTATACTTCTTTAGGCGCGTTATGAAAAATTGGTGAGAGTGATATTTTACGATGCGCGCACAGCGTGACACAAAATTAACAGAATGAAGTTGCCCACGGAAGATGCTACGGCATTGGACATAATTTAAAAACAACATTCGAATAATAATAGAATTTATGTTACACTTAATGCGAGAGAATAATAATAAATATTTATTTATTAATTTTTCAAATGTAAACTGAACTTTATTGACTATAATGACTCCTTTTCCAGTCTTTGATTATTTAATTGTAATTAATTATTTGTTTGCAAGCAAAAAACTATTTTTAATAATGCCAAAGAAGTATAACTTTAACCCTTTTTATTAATCTCACCTTATCAGCACCATGAATGGTCTTAACCACCATATGACTCCAGTACTCTGTGACTCGGATCGCGTGCTTTGTTTCCGGTACGTCTGGATGTTCGCACGCCTTCGACAGTATAATATACACCTTATTGCCATCCCTCCCCCTAGCCTCTTCTTCATATTTCTGTCTCGCTTTCGCGTGCACGCTGGTGAAGTCGTACGTCTTTGGCGTCGTTAGTTCGACTTCCTTGTGTCGTCTTATGTAGACATAATCTCGATTCGCGAATAGTCTCTGAAATTTATGTGAAAATATATCCTTATATGATCACATCTAAAGTAGGGCTAAATTGATAGATGACATTTGACAGCTGTCATTGTTGGCTCCATAGTGAGGTGACCTGCTTAAAAAATCGAACCGTGTACGAATCTTCGAAACTTCATTTCGATTTCAAGCATAGACAAGGTGTGTGTACAAATTACTGTTGACGTAATCACCAAATAAGAAAATCAAAGACAACCCCAAAAGTGCATACGTATTACTTTTACAGCCCCTAATTCACATCTCTATATATATAAAATTCTCATGTCACAATGTTCGTTCCCAGACTCCTCCGAAACGGCTCGACCGATTCTTATGAAATTTGTTATGCATATTTAGTAAGTTTGAGAATCGTCTACTATCTATCTTTTAAACCCCTAAGTGATAAGCGGTGTCCACCCCAATTTTTTTTTTTTTTCATGATACAGCATACAAAAATACATACAACCCTTAATTTTCACCCCTCTACGATCAACCCCTATTTTTTATTTTAGTAGATAGTTTTTTTTATTAAACTAACAAAATTTTTCCTAGAAATAATATACATGGCAAAACAAACGTTTGCCGGGTCAGCTAGTTTCTTTATATAATCACATCAAAAGTAGGGCCAAATTGATAGATGACATTTGACAGCTGTCATTATTGGCTCCTTAGTGACCTGTTTTAAAAATCAAACCGTACAAGTATTACGTAAGCAGATTTAGTGCAATCAATCCCCCCCTCTTGTCAGCAAAAGTAAGCAAAGCTCTCAAAAATAGTACATAAACGTATTAATTTTTTATAGGAATCCTCCAAAATGCATTTCGTTTTCAAGCATAGACAACGTGTGGGTAATATGTGTAAAAAAAGTAAATAATTATTAATTACTGTTGACGTAATCACCAAATAAGAAAATCAAAGACCCCCCCTCGCCCCTATAGTGCTCACGTAATACTTGAACGGCCCCTAACTATATAACCGTAAATCCTACTCACAGGCCAAAGAACCTCCCAATGCATTACCGCCTGGTCAGCAATGCCATGAGCACCTCTCTGCACCACAGACAACGCAGCCACCGCACTATCCCAGGCCTTTCGATAAGCGCCATCTATTTGTACGGCCGCGTAATCACTAGCTGACACTTCCGGGTACCGGCCATAGACTAGAAAAATTAATAAAGGCGTTATTAATAGTATATTTGTTAGATTGTTTGGGTTTCATTTATTTACACTTCTTGGACAAGAACATGTTACATATCCATTGCACTCCGTTTGCCCCGCATACCCAATACCAGTACCCCTCTTACGCAACTACGTTATATATAAGGAAACGGACAACAGAGACCAGAAGCTTTTGATCGGATAACTCATATCGGACCGGTCAATAGTTAAGTCTTAATTATTGTACTAATGATTAATTAAAGTAATTTAAATACATATTGGTTTTTTTTGGGATTCACCGCTGGCCCTCACTTAATTAACAAAACAACAAACTTAAAACCTTTTTGGCTTGTATGAGTACTAAGTTATTTGAATTAAAGAAAACGTTAAAAAAGGATTGAGAAGAAGTGAAACATACATTAATTTAATTTAAATACAAAAAATAATAATACAAAAAAACCTATTTATATATAGAAAATTAAAATTATTTGGTCACAATGAAAACGGAATGTCCTTTAGTAAAACGTTACGATGCGAGGCGGAGATTGAATTATGCATTATTGTTAATATTATTTTGTACTTTTGCAGTACTTTACACCACATAATGGTAACTTTTAGGTATAAAGAGTCACTAGGTGCTCACGAAACCGTAAAACGTTGTACCCAATAGTTTCCTAGAAAAACGTTACGGCGCGTTACCTTTCAATAATCGCCAAAAATTGCGTGACGTAATACTTGAATGCTCCCTATGTCACTGAACCCCTCTTAAGCGGCTGGACCGATTTGAATTATTTTTTGTCTGGTTTGGGATGGATGGTTTAGATTCACAAATCATCCTAAATCAGGTACTTTCATACTTTGTTTAATATCCTAATCGCTTGAAATATCATGCAATACAACGTCTGAGGAGTCCGCTAGTAAATATATAAATTTTGAAACATCAACCAATAACATACCTTTATATGCATATTGCCCAGTTCCCGGCTTATACTCCTTTCTCCATATAATAACATCCACAGCCTCCATATATGGCACCCAACCGTCTACCGATTCTTGACTAGGTTTCGAGTCTTTGCATCTGAAAATATTGTGTCTAACTTCAATAATGACAACTAAACCTCTTTAGGCTGAAGGCCACATCCCAGCACGAAATGCTGTGTCAGTGTCTCTGGCTGGACTTTTGGCGCAGTGGAGAGCTGGTGAGCACTGGGGGCCGCCGGCCCGTAATAACAATTATTATGTAAAACATTAAATTAATTATTTTCTAAAATGGATTACTTGGCTTGCAATAAAATATATCATGTAAATTTCAAAATCATGTTCTATATACATTTTCATCATAGAATGAATTTAAAGTGTCAAAAATTTGCTATGTTGGGTTTTTTTTCCATCACATGGCTTTGTAATGTCAAAATTTGCACAGTCCCTTGAGTGTCCGTATATAAGGTTTACACTGTAGTTTACGAATAAATCTTCTTACACACAGTATGAGACTCCGTTCTGTTTTTTATCAATCACTAATCTTTTTCCACAACTTGTGCAATAGACAGTCAGCTTGGCCAATTTATCAAGCCCTTCCATTTCATCCAGTAATTCCTGTAATGTTTAAGATTTAATAAGATAAATGCATTCAGTATCTTGAATCATTTCAAGTGACCACAATTGCAGAAATGGCACTGAATATTCATTGTGTGAGTTTACTACATATTTTCATTTATATATACTAAAGATTTATTTTAATTTAAATGTAGGTACTTTTGGGAACCAAAGACAATATTATATACAGTATAATCCGGCACTTCGATGGATCGCACGTCCAATAATCCGACACCTCAGTCATCATACCCAAGATTTCATCAACGTACATAATCTTGGTCAAGTGAAACTAGTAAATGTGATAACACACACTTGGCCCCCCCCCCCCCCCCCCCCCCCCCCCCACCCCCCCCCCCCCCCCCCCCCCCCCCCCCCCCCCCCCCCCCCAAGGGCCCGGGGGGGGGACCAACCCCCACAAAACCAAATACACACATCAAATAGTTCAATTGTTAATAACAATTTTATTACTTTAATACTAAACCTGACAAAATATTATTTCAGATTTTATAGAATAAAACTATGTTAAAAAGAAATAATTTCTTTATATATCACAATATTTAATCAATATATTTTTCATAACCATTTGCATATTAATTATTAGTAAATAGTACAAAACTCAAAAAGATTATTATAAAATTTATTCATAATTGTTCTTATCTCACTACTTCAATGTATGGAAAAACTTCAAATCAACAAATCTATGTAATCCAATATGACAACATCACTTAGAAACAACCTTGAGGATATGATTATTATGCACTCAGGCAAACAATGTTAATGCAGTATGTTTTCATACTATATATATTTAATAGTGGCTCATACTATTCATAGGAAATAAAATCTGTACACTAATATTATATACCTGTAATTCATTATCAGATATGCCTTGCTCGCAGGGGAACCCTTTATCACGACCTTTACACACTGCCGTGGCCGTCAACAGCAAGGTTCGCCGTGGACGGAAAATTACTTGTTTGAAACACTGTATAACCTCCCTGACACCCCGGTCACGTCTGAACTTTCTCACTACAGTATTTATAAGATAATTTCGAGTCCATGTATTCCAAAATCTTCGAACTGCGGTGTCTCTGAGGAAAAATTTAAATCGTAACGCCGACATGCTACTTGGAATTGGAGAGAAAGTGCACTATTAGGGAGATTGTACTAATAGCCCATTGCAAAACTTCGCGCAGTAGTTTTTCCTTCAATAATAGTTTAAGAAGGAAAATGTGTTATAATGTACTGCAGTCTTTCGAAACTTAACCTTACAGCGCAATTTGAATTTGATAAAAATGACAAAACACCGTGACACTTGACAATGACAGCAATGGCAAGAAAGTGGACACTCTACTATGTCATGACGTCCTTACAGGCATTCTACGTTAACAATATTATCTAAGAACTAAATTATTTTCTACTAAATATATCATCAAATGATTGTAAACTTTTTACGCTTAATCTACTAATCAAATTTTTCATTAATTTTTTTATGAATAAGAAAACCTAATTTTTAAATTTTTTAAAGTTTTCAAAAAAATATATACTTCACAACCATTGTTATTCTAAGTATAATCCTGTAAAGTAAATTTGTTTACAGGGATTTAAATTTTAAAATAAAATTGTATTCATATTTTAAATGTGGAATATAAAAAAGAACTTATTTATACCTTCAATCCATACTAATATTTATTTTTTTAGCAGTTTGAAATAACTTTAATTATTTTCAAAATCTACGACGAAACCGGCAAAAGGCTTTAAAATTTTTCAACAATAAATAATATTTACTAAAAATGCGGGAAAATTTCGATAAATGCCAACTTAAAGAAAAATACTGGTCAGTTTTCTGTCACTGTGTTGGTATTGTTTGCGAGAGCATTGTTTTGAGAGTGCTCAATGGTGCGAAGCGTTGCTGTAGTTGGGACACTAACGTTAGTTAATTGCAAAATGGCTCTAGTGCTGTAATGAAAATGCACTAAGTACTAAAATTTTTTTTTTTTAGATTTTTTTTAAAATTTTTTTAACGGTCCACTTGTTTTGGCATCAATAGATTTTACGTTCCTTCATATGTTCAACTTTTGGTTTTTGTTAAAATCACACAAATGCGGCGGCTGGATGGTAGGGATCAATAAATCTAATTTTCATTAATAATATGTAACTTGCTTATAGTTGTCTATGAAAAATGAACATATTGTTATGGCATTACAAAAGTTTTGGCAAACATTCTTATCTATAATATTTAGCTTGGCTGTTGTCGCGCAATAGTTTTATGAAAATGACGATTATTGCCTTATACTGAAAAATAATACCTAATCGGAAAATCAGCCTAAAATTCTGCCTGTTTTCTAACATTTTTTGAAAAACCATTGAAAGTGTTGAACTGGAACAAATAATATCTGAGTTGTCACATAATTTAAGACGCGTAAAAAGTAATTCTTTGGCGTTCTTTTTTTAAATATAAAAAAAATTTAGCGTTAAAATTAACAAAAGAACAAAAATAAAAAATATAATATTATAAATTCAATTTAAAACTATTGTTTCAGAACCTTTAAACTAATTTTAAGTCTTGTTTGTGAAAAATTTTTAAAAAGTAATTATGGCATTCAAAATTTTGGCATATAACTCAATATCTTTAATTCTTATTACCATACTTCGCGCACGCTCGGCGCCATTGAAACGCCAAGAAGATATATTAGGAATTCCTCTAAGTCTAAGTATCTAATTATTAGGGTGGGAAAAAGGTCGGATTAATTAATTTCACTGTCAAAAATATAAGTGTCGAAAATTATTATAAATTATTAATTTAATTTATTTCTTCGGTAATAAAAACAAGTTGCATTTTAATTTACAATTCGTCATATGATATTTCAATAAATTATTTTGCATCAAATATAAAATACTAATATTTCACAAATTCTCTTTCCGAAATATTAATTTTAAAAATAGTATTTCTATAAGGTAATTCGCCCTTCCTCACTCTTTCTCAATCGGTCTCAATCGCTCTCTCCCTTTTCTTCTTCGACAAAAACGCTGCAAATCTTCGTAACGCTAATATTATTATTATTTTTGCGTAGAATCCGGAAAAATTTACCCTTCTTAAAAATTTCCCATCATGCGCCTAAAGAAGTTTCACTTCAGTAATCTTTATGTTATAGTAGGCCTTAACAGCCTTAGCAATTTTAACATACTTATTGACAACACCCTACCTTACCAAGGATTTAATAATGAACGCAAATCCTTATTAAAAAAGACATTTAACATACTAATAAAGATATTTAACATAAGAAAGTATTCAATAACACTACTTACAGTCTCTATAGATGGAAAGACTCTCTCTCTTCATGGGGACAATTTTTTCCACTTAACACAGTTTAGCACTTAATACGAACGTGACACTAGTTCAGTAATTTAAATTGTGTTTTTTCGTTTCAAAGTTCTTATTAGGCTGGTGATGTCAAGAAATAAAATAGCCTCGGCCCTCGACATTCACGGGATGGTAAAGTCTTCGATCATAAGTTCCAGCAATATTTATTTGAAATCTTCTATCGACGTCCTCGACATTCAGGTACTAATGGAGCTCCTCATTACAGGAAATTATAAGTTTTTAATCTTATATGACAACGGTTTCTAAAAGATAAGCTTTAACAACATACATACCTTAGAGCAATTTTTTCTTCTATCTACCATAAGATTCCTACTATAATCTTAAGCCGTTTTTATTTACGACAGTAATTGGCAACACCAAGTTGTTTCTTTCATTTCCTCGATCGACAACGAGCGAAGCGAAGGCGTTCGTTCGATCGCTTGGTCAGGTTCACGTCATCTTTTTATCTTCCAATGTCTGATTTTTGTATCCCACATGCTTAGGGGTAACCGAAACAAGAAAAAATCAAAGAATCCTAGAACGAGAAGAAAAGTGCGAGTGAGATTGGCCGTATTAAATGTAAACTAGAAAGTGTGTGAATTGAGTTGAAGTGTTCGAAGTCCGGTTCTATCTGGTAAAAGTCGGTTCAAGAGTTCGACACCCTTTCTTTATTTTAACTTTAGTGGTGTTTTAAATACTTTTTGTCCTTTATTTGGCAATATATTAGTGTTAATAGTAGTTACATAAACGGCAAAGATGTCTGAAGAATCGTCTGCTGACCGTAACGTAGAAATATGGAAGATCAAAAAGCTGATCAAGAGCTTGGAAATGGCTAGAGGGTGAGTTTTTCTACTATATTCCTTTACAATGTCATGTTATATTCCTTTACAACCTCATATTCCTGCAACGTGTTCATCTTTATAATACCCGCGTAGAGTTTGATGTTACGATTGGCCAAAAATGCCAACTAGGCTGCGTCATTCTTTACATGCGCGTGGTATATGCGCAAAATAACCTCGAAGTCACGCAGTGCATGAAAATATACGCAAAATTCATTGACCTAACAACTTTTACCACTTGCATTATTCAAGTTCGAGTAGTCGGTCCAAAATCAAACATACGTCACGGAAAAATCTTCTCTGAACACGTCACAGTGCTCGTGTTTCAATTTCAATGGATTCTTGTCTGCATTATTAATGAGATAATAAATAAAAAAAAATCTGTACATCAATTTCATTAGTTTAATGGCGATATAATGGTCTAAATTATACTAGATATGGTAGAGATGATCTGACCAAGATGTCTATGAAATTCTAATGAAAATGTTTGTTAGTACACTTTTACTTATGAGTAATTATTTATATTTCTGAATGTGCAGTACTTATATACCTCCCTATTACTTATAAAAGGAATAACTTGTTTAATATACAACATTTCACCACTACATAAGCATTATTTATGAGAGATCAGCTCTAGTTATCCTTACGACAGCTAATGATAAATATTTGAGATTATTGAATGGTTATACTATACATTAATTTAGAATTATTAGTGCAGTTTTATCAATAATTTATATATTTGGGAAGGATTATGAGGCAAAATTGACAAATAACCTTACATACTTAATAATGAAATACATAATAAATAATTATTCAAAAAGTAAAACTTAACAATGGCATTGATTAGTTTTAAAGTAGAAGTTTATTCAATTACATAAATGTAATAATTAAGAACATAATTGGATCCTATCTATCACATCTTAGTTACCTAATGTGTAAACATTATCTATTCTTGATATTGTGTACATAAGTTATGTAAGTTTGTGTATTAGGCTATGAGATAGATATTCTCTTTATAATTGCAAAACCATGGCCTCGTAAATAACTGAAAATGATTACTACAATAAAGAATTAACCTTAAGCAACACATTAGCATATTAATGTAAAGGTTCGTTAGTTTCTACTGAAATTTAATCAAATGAAAACTCCATTCAGTTATTGGTTTGTTATAGAAAATGGAAATTTATGCAATGTCACTTTAAGAGATCAATAATTTTTATTTATGAAATTTATCAGAAATTATTACCATGTTATGTTAAGTGAAACCCAACTTCAAGATGTGATGCCAACATTTACATATCTACGCTAACAATATATGCTACAAATAGGTTGTTTCTCTTCTTCTATGACACTAACAATATTAACGGATTGGCTAAGAGACTTAGTTCTGCAGCCTACGCAGTTAAAAAAATTCACTCACTACCTGATGTCGATTGTTTATTTTAGTTACTTTCATAGCTTAATGGCTTATTATTATGGAGTCATGCTGCTGATGTCGAAACTATTTTCATCCTGCAGAAGAGGGTTATTCGTGCAATCTATAATTTAAAATGTAGGAAATCTCTTAGAGATAAATTCAAGGAAATGAATATACTTACCTTTCCCTCGCAATATATTTATGAAAATATTATGTATGTATACAAAAATAGTGATAAGTTTACTAGAATAGAACATACGCACAATGTTAATACACTGAACAAATGCAGGCTGCAATTTCCCTGTACTAGACTATCTAAAGTTAGTAATTCTTTTTTGGGAAAAGGGATCCTATTCTTTAATAAAATCCCAGAGGCTCTTTTATCTCTGCCTTTTAATAAATTTAAGAAATGTATTAAAGAAAAGCTGTGTATAAAGGCTTACTATAAAGTCAACAATTATCTAGTTGATAAAAGGGCCTGGGACTAGTGCTAGACAGGCTACTTCTAAATAATTTGCGATATTTGTTTTAAAATAAGTGTTGTTTGATGATTTGCTATTTTAAAAGAGTACCGAGAGTTTTTTACGCCGACTTTTTCTCTCGGCCTACACCCTATGTCTTCTTTGCCGATGAGTAGGGATGCCTACAAATTCAAACTTAATGACGTGCAATAAGTGATACATGTATCTTATGTTCCATAATAAACATATTTATTTATTTATTTTATAAGTTTTATATAAGGAAACTACTTAAGCATAATAACATCAAACAGCTAATAAGTATATGTGTTAGCTATCTATTGCTGGGTATTAACTATTATATTGGTAGTAAATTAGTTATTTATATAAGAAAGATAATAATAAAAGATTAGGTTGTGTAAAATGCAAGAGAAAAAAATTGCCGAGTTTCATTTGATTGCAATTGAATTATAGATTTTCAAGTCTCTTTATTCAACTATCACAATCACAGACAACATGCCCTTGTTTCATCTGTTGTTTTACCTTCAGGAAAGCCCATAGAATATAAGTTCAGTAATTTTTCATTAAATAACCCATCTACATCTTAATACAAACAAATATCATACCTACCTTTATACATACCGTCATCTTTTGTTCATACCCTTAAAAGCAATATTTTTTTCAGAAATGGTACATCAATGATATCTCTTATAATACCACCAAAGGATCAGATCTCCCGGGTATCAAAGATGTTGGCTGATGAATTTGGTACAGCGTCTAACATCAAATCCCGTGTCAATCGGCTCTCTGTACTCGGAGCTATCACCTCTGTACAGCATCGTCTGAAGCTATATACTAAAGGTATTTAACATTATATCAAAGTCATTTAATCAGTCTTTTTTAGCGTAAAAACATCCTTTCTTTTGAAACAGGCAAGATCCTGTAGACAAAACTCTAAAATGAAAAAATTCTCAAAATTCTCCTTCAACGATCCTCTAATTAGTCTATTATCGTCATGAGACAAACATATTTCTGTTTTCGGCTAGTTATACTATGCTAATAGTATAAAGAGAAAAAATATTTTTAGTAACTCAATAACTACTGGTTTGATTTATAAAATTCTTTCACAGATATAATTTTACATTATCTTTACGTAGACAAAATATATGAGTCGAACATTCAAAGCAGGGACAGCTTTCTTTAAATACATTGCATTATTACTTATTTAACTACCTGAATATTGGTATTCCTTGACAAATGTTCGCAGTGCCATATTCAGGCATTGTCATTGTAAATAGCAAGTAGGTGATTTGTAAAACAAATTTATTGGTTACCTTCGTTATCTTAATATGTATAAATTACGTGTCACGTTGTTTGTCCGCTATGGACTCCTAAACTACTGAACGGATTTCAATCAAATTTGCACACCGTATGCGGTTTGAACTAACTTAAAAGAAAGGATAGCTTACATCTCAATTTATACCCGCAATATTATTTTATTGCAAACTATTTGTTTATCATTTGATAGTCACTGTAAAGTTACTTACTGCTAGTATACTGTAAATCTTCTTGTTGAATCTCTAACTTGTGTAAATTTGGTATTTATCATTTTATTAACTATTTTCAGTACCACCAAACGGCCTGGTTATATACTGTGGTACAATCGTGACAGAAGAAGGCAAAGAAAAGAAGGTGAACATTGATTTTGAACCTTTTAAACCAATTAATACGTCTCTATATTTGTGTGACAATAAGTTCCATACTGAAGCTTTAACAGCACTACTCGCTGATGATAATAAATTTGGTTTTATTGTGATGGATGGTAACGGAGCCTTGTTTGGAACACTTCAAGGAAATACAAGAGAGGTGAGTTTTTTACACTTTTATAATATCTTTGTGTATAGAGTACATTTAAAGTGAGATTCAGTCTCAACATAAACATTTTTAAACGTCTTTTTTTTTTTTTTTTTTTTTTTAAAAAAAATTTTTTTTTTTTATTCCCTTTTGTAATACACATTGTCTGGTCTTTCAATTTAAAAACCCCCGGGGGCCCCCCCCAAAATTATATTTTATATAAACAAAACCATTGCAACAAGTGTACAAAGGTCCTTTTATTTCAATATCCGAAATCTATTACATGATTTTAGTTCTTACTAGAACTTTTGTAAGTGAGAACAATGTGTCGGCAGGGGGGGGGGGGGGGGGAGGGCCTTGAATAGGATATAAATATAATAGAACACTTGTAATATTCAGTATTAAACGGACCTCAAATGACCGGTTGTATTCATTTTAACTTTAAGTTTTTAAAAAACCCTTATTTCGCGGACCCACTACTTGACTATCTTGTTGCATTTGTTTGTATATTGTCAATAATAATAATAATATACAGTGTAAACTCTTTATAACTTCAAAAGAGATGATAATTTGGTTGGTTTAACACAAATACCATACATTCATTCACTCTTTATAACGCCACCATTAAAACTGTCCGGCTGAGGTAACATTTTCTCATAGGTCCCCAAGTTACATATATAAAATTTAGCTTTTATACTCTGAAAAAGAAAGAAAATATAATTATAATTAATGAAAGTATAATTATAATTTATTAAAGTTTAGGGGTGTCTGGCAGGGGGTAGCAACTGTCATAAGTGTCTGGCAATGGATGACGAGATTTCTTAAGTTATCCCTAATAAAAAAAAAAAAAAATGAGCTTTATACTAGAATTTAAGGTACTATTTTATACACCTTTACTACCTGTTACCTATAGTCCCTGGTCGTTCTTACCTGTATAGGGGTCGCGCACAGAAGAACTTTCAGGTTTTATTAATTAACGAAGGTCTGGCCGTCGTGGGATCTTATGGCGCGTCTAAACGGGCCATGTTTTGCTGCAATTGATGGCTGCAACACTGTGGCCGGCAACATTGCAAACAATAGCAGCCACACTATGCAATATTGCAGTAATGTCTCGGCCATATAGCCAAACATGTTTTGTATAGCCACATATGGCCGATGTTGCCCCGATAGGTGGCCGGACGATCGCTAGGCTATCGAATTCAACTGGAATATTGCACGGCCAGTTCTCTTGTTGTTTCAGTCACTCACTTTGTTATGGCATAGTGTATCCTTTTCTACTCGACATGACGTTTGCTTTGAGTGAAGTGTGCTTGTTGCTTTATTCTGTGTTTTGCGATCAGCTGTATTTGACGTTAGATTACTACGTAAAAATGACTACTTTTGACATTCTAGTTCTTGAATAATTTATTATCAAGACTTATTTCTAGACTCAAATTGTCTACAGTTTCATACCTATTTAAGTAAGGTCGAATCCACAATCTCTTCTTTTTCTGTTTCTTTTTTAAAACAATATAAGCTGCTGCGACAAGTGTGATTTCTTCAGCCATTGTTGCCGGTTTGTGTAGCCCGTTTAGGAGTCTGCATCATGGGCCATACTATTGCAGACATATTGCAACACATTGCCCAGCCATAGATTGTTCGGCCATCAGCTGCATTAAAATATTTTTGTAATGGCCGGGCAATTAGTGGCCAACAGTGCAGCCATCAATTGCAGCAAAACATGGCCCGTTTAGACGCGCCATAAGGCAATTATAATTAAAGTCTACAAGTGTCTGTAAAAAACTGACTTATAAACATTTATGAATTTAATTGATGGCGTATTTCTCATTACAAAGAGGTGGTACAGAGAAAGCGATAAATGTTTATTTTCATTGGTCAGCTCTCGTCCAATACGAGTTGACCAGCACATGATGCGTCATATTACGTCCGTTTCTCTCATTAAACGCACTGTTTCGCGTTTTTCAAACCCATTTAACTGATAATTTTAGAAAGTCATTGTACCATTTTCTTAATTAAATAAACTAAATATGTGCATTACGATAAAGTACAATATCAATTAATAAGTATTAAGAGTAAAGTTGTAATAATAAAGCAATCTTTATAATTATGGAGAGTCTCCGAGGTCGTAGTTTCGAACCCCGGCTGCGTACCTGTGGATTTTCTATATGCGCGCATTTAATGCCCGTACTGTGAAGGAAAACGTAAGGAAACTGACATGCCTTGGATCCATACAGTCGACGGCGTGTTAGGCACAAAACGCTGATCATCTACTTGTCTATTTAAAAGAAAGGGTGCGTGTACTTATGTACGCGCGTAAGAAGTTCTACTTTGGCATTATTAAAAATAGTTTTTTATTGCATGCAAATAATTAATTACAATTAAATAATCAAAGACTGGAAAAAGAGTCGTTATAGCCAATAAAGTTCAGTTTACATTTGAAAAATAAAATAAATAAATATTTATTATAATTCTCTTACATTAAGTGTAACATAAATTCTATTATTATTCGAATGTTGTTTTTAAATTATGTCCAATGCCGTAGCATCTTCCGTGGGCAACTTCATTTTGTTAATTTTGTGACACGGTGCGCGCGCATCGTAAAATTTCACTCTCATCAATTTTTCATAACGCGCCTAAAGAAGTATAACTACAAAAGAATTTAGAAATCTGAGGCCCAGACCTGAAACATTGTTTATTTTATAATTGTGGTATGAAACTAAAACCCTAAACTTTACCATAGAATAATTAGAATTTATTATATTGCCATATTTATTATTGAAATATAATTTGTTCCAGGTGCTACACAAATTCACAGTAGATTTACCGAAGAAGCACGGTCGTGGTGGTCAGTCAGCGTTGCGATTCGCGCGTCTTCGTATGGAAAAGAGACACAATTATGTCCGGAAAGTGGCTGAAGTGGCCACACAGTTATTTATCAGTCAAGATAAGCCGAATGTGGCCGGTTTGATCCTTGCCGGTTCTGCTGACTTCAAGACTGAGCTGTCGCAGTCTGATATGTTTGACCCGGTAAGTGTTTTAATGTTAAACAATTAGTTTGACCCAGCAAGTTAATGTTAGACGAATACTTTGACCCAGCAACTAATTAAGACAAATGCTTTGACATGACAAGGTAATTTTAGACAAATACTTTGACCCAACAAGTTAATGTTAGACATATACTTTGTCCCAACAAGATCAATGTAAGACAAATTCTTTGCCTCTGCAAACTAATGATAGACAAATGTTTTGACCCAGCAAACTAGTGTTAGACAAATACTTTGACCCAGCAAACTAATGTTAGACAAATACTTGACCCAATAAGTTAATGTTAGACATATACTTTGACCCAACAAGATCAATGTAAGACAAATTCTTTGCCTCTGCAAACTAATGATAGACAAATGTTTTGACCCAGCAAACTAGTGTTAGACAAATACTTTGACCCAGCAAACTAATGTTAGACAAATACTTGACCCAATAAGTTAATGTTAGACATATACTTTGACCCAACAAGATCAATGTAAGACAAATTCTTTGCCTCTGCAAACTAATGATAGACAAATGTTTTGACCCAGCAAACTAGTGTTAGACAAATACTTGACCCAATAAGTTAATGTTAGACATATACTTTGACCCAACAAGATCAATGTAAGACAAATTCTTTGCCTCTGCAAACTAATGATAGACAAATGTTTTGACCCAGCAAACTAGTGTTAGACAAATACTTTGACCCAGCAAACTAATGTTAGACAAATACTTGACCCAATAAGTTAATGTTAGACATATACTTTGACCCTGTGAATTACTGTTAGAGTTTGTTCTATGGGTCTGATAGAGTGAGTGAATACTTCACTTATTAAGTCACGGATGTTTCAATCTAGTTATTCTTGACTATTTTTTACTTATTAGTTAGTAAGTGTATAGGTCGGTTATCGAAAGCTGGCGCGTTCACAGTACTCACACTAATGCAATTTCACTATACAGTATGTTTAAAAATATGACTTTTTGCCAAGCTATATATTTTAGTCTACTCTGGTTTTAGTAAGGTTGGGTGGGTTGTATATAAATAAAAATGTGTCAAATACATATAAATATTATGTGTATACGCGGGTGGATCCAAAAGTTCTAAGCCCGACCAAGAACGTAAAAGAGTAGTTTGTGTAAATATTTTTTCATTTTTCGACATAAGATACATCTAGCTCAACACACTTCACTCTTACTTCACTAACAATTCTTTCAATACTCCTCTTAGAAACACCAGTCGCAACTGATGTCAAATTAAAAATTAAATTTTTTCATTAAACTGTTTTTATTAAGATGCTTAAAATAATTAAAAACATTGTGCACCATTTCACGAGATTGCCCTGGTAATGTTTGAAAAAAGATCAACATAAACAGTAGCAAAAGCAAAACAATAACTATCTCTTTTATACTCATAAGCTAGACCGAGCGCGAGAGAGACGGACAGTCTTTTCATGATGAATATTCAGTTTGACATCACGCCTCGCGCTTATACACAGACACTACACAAGCACAAAGTGTAAATGAGTTGAAGCCGCCAGCTTTAGATAACATTCCAATATGTCAATTTGAAACAGCAAGTATTTACTTAATTTACCTGTGTGTTGTAGCGCTAATGCCTCGAAAAAAGGACTTGCCCATTACGAGAAATGCCTGTGTTAAGATCGAAATATTTTTGACATTGTTATTAGTAATAGGAATTGGAGTGTATCACATTCCTAGGTGCTCCTATCAATTGTAATGGTTGAAAAAAAAAAACAATTTTAAAACCAAATTCTGGCAATAACATTAAATTATAATCTATACAAGATCAGTTAATCAATGCAAGCATAATATAGTTAACAATTAATAATGGTTGTCTGTGTGCAGAAACGACGTACGCACACATACAAGCCGAAATTGGTACCTCTGTATGAAGATGACCTCCTGGTATCTTTATCCTTTGGTACGGCTGATTTGATTCAGCTGTCACAGTCTGATATATTTGACTCTGTGAGTATCAGCTCTTGTTTATTAGCGCCTGGTACATTTTTTATTAATCACTGAGTAAATAACATCTACTAAATTAACAAAATAAATAAATAAATTAAATAAGGGACTGCATGTTTAGGTGATATTAATATAAACGGGTAAAGAAATACATATACATAATCAAATTTGCACACCGTGTGTAGCAATCCAATTTAAATATAGGATATCTTACATCTCAATTTATACCCGCAATGTTATTTAATTGCAAATTATTTGTTTATTATTTGATAGTCACAATTGTAACAGATGGCGCTGTGTTAAAAGTACCAACGTTTCACATGAGCTACAATTTAATGGCATAACCACCAAAAAAGCATGGTGGTCCCCATGACTGGTGTTCTCCTACCGTTTCCCTTGAATAGGTTACTACTATGTAATATAACTAAAACCTTAGCCACAGCAACGCTTGGCCGAGTCTGCTAGTATGTATATATATATATATATATATATATATACTGCTCAAAACAATTAGCGGAACAAGATTTTTCTCCTTTCTATTGCTTAAACTAAAATTAGATTTAAATTAACTTGTACGCTATTTTTACCTTTTAATTTGTTAATTATGTACTACAATTAATAAAAAAATCAATTTGTATTTTTTTATTAAAAAAAATTAAAATGTGCATTGTAGAGAAAAACAAAGTGACGTCTTTGAATTTTCATTACTTTCTAATCACAGAAAACACATTTTAGGTAGTTTTTTTTAATCTTTTGAGTATTAATAGAAATTGAAGTGAGCCTTTTGAGTATTGTTATTCATTGAAGCGAGTGAGTTTAGTCAAATGCCAGATCTGACTGAATTGCATGTCTCCCGAGCTATCGCTTTGCTTAAGAGGGTCGATATGCTTATGTAGGAAATGATCTCTAGGGAGCCCCTTCTGTTATCTACAGACTTTGGAAGCGATACGTGAGACGGGAGAATACTCACGAAGGCGTGGTCAAGGTCGAGATGAGGGAAAACTACACGTTTGCAGGATAGCTACATCGTCAACTGTGCTTTACGTAACCGCACCACAACTGCAAGAGATCTACAAAATACACTAAGGACGGCTACTGGTGTAGAAATTTCCGACCAGACGGTAAGAAATAGGTTGTTGGAAGCCAATTTGAGATCACGCCGACCAGTTCGGGCTGTGCGTCTAAAAATTCAACATAGACAAGGCTCGCCGACAGTTCGCGCAAAATCACGCTAATTGGCAACTTCGACATTGGAGGCCAGTGCTTTTACTGACGAATCACGATTCCGTCTAACACGTTGCGATGGTTGTCTCCGTGTTTACAGACGCCCAGGCGAGCGATACAGTGAGCAGCAGTCCAGGAATATGACTAATTTGGATGTGGCTCTGTGATGGTTTGGGGCGGAGGTTGACGAGCGCACAGATCTCGTCGTTTCCCGGGCCTTGTGTGCTCAAACTTACATTGAAAATTGCTCGAAGATCATGTTTGGCCCGAGATATGGTATGGGCCCAGATTTTCTTTTAATGCAAGATAATGCCAGGCCGCATACTGCAGCCATCGCGTCAGATTACTTAGACAGCAGGGAAATCCGTGTAATGGAGTGGCCTTCCATGAGCCCTGACCTAAATCCAATTGAACACATTTGGGACTTGCTTGACAGGCGCATCCGGAAGCGTCCGATTGCACCTCAAACACTGAGCAGCTCACTGAAGCGTTGATTGAAGAATGGGAGCGAATTCCACAAGAAGATATTCGGAGGATCATACGAAGCATGCCGCTCGTTGTCAAGCCGTGATTAGGGCTCATGGAGGCCACACAGTTACTGAAAGTCACTAAAGACGAATATACAAACGATATAAGAATATTTCTTTGATGGACCTTTTTATCACCAATTAGTTTTTCGTCTACAATGCACATTCTAATTTAATAAAAAAATACAAATTGAAAAATTAAATATGTATTTTTATATATTAATTGTAGTAATTAACAAATAAACAAGGTAAAAAATCTACAAGTTAATTTAAATCTAATTTTATTTAACAATAGAAAGAAAAATACGGTGAAGTAATATATATATATGTCTTCATACTTAGTACAAATTAAGCTAGATTTTGTCTGAGCTAATTAGAAACATTGGAACACAGTATGGATATATTTGCTGCTTACTAGCGCCTGGTATTTTTTTACTCATTTTTTGAGTAAAAATGTCACAAAAATAGTTTGAGTTTAGCGTTTTCTATGGAGATTTTTCTTTAATTACATTACATTTAAAATAAATAAATCTAAAGACAAATTCTAAATACAACTAAAATGAAAAATTCAAAAATGCACTTTCTAGGGATGTGATCACATAAATCAGAAAAAAAATGTATTACTGAATTATATCTACTATCTTCGTTACGAATATAAAAGCGTCCTTTGCCTAGTGATTAACACGTTTCGAACTACGTTTGATTCTGAAGAAACTGCCTAAACTAAGGGTCTGTTTCACAATGTATGGATAAAGTACCAAATAGCTATGCAACACATAAATTATTTGGAAGATAAATTGTGTCTATTTGACACTTCATCGTACTCATAACTCATGATGGGCTAACTGACGTCGCGAAACGCAACATAGTGTTTTCCCCTAGGGACGTTCAAGTATTACGTAACGCTTTTTGGGATTACCGAGCCACCGTCGTAACGTTTTTCGTACCCAAGTACTAGTAAAACGTTTCGTGACCACCTAGTGACTCTTTAGTTACTATTATATGGTGTAAGTCCAAAAAAATATTAACAATAACGCGTAATTTAATCCCCGCCCCGCATCGTAACGTTTTACAAAAGGACACCCTCCCCCTCCCAAAATACGTCACGTGATACTTGAACGCTCCCTAAGTAATTAATAGCTAATTTGGAACTTATGTAGAACTTATCCGTACATTGTGAAACAGACCCTTAATCATAAAAATGCAATTATTGATATATTATTTTTGTGTTTCAGCGTCTACAATCGAAAATAATCAAGCTAGTCGACGTATCGTACGGTGGCGAGAACGGATTCAACCAAGCGATCGAATTGGCCGCCGAGTCACTGCAAAACGTTAAATTTATACAAGAAAAGAAATTAATTGGACGGTACTTCGATGAGATTTCTCAAGTGAGTAACATACAATAAAATACAATATCATATATATAATAGTATCAATCGCTTATACTGGGTATAAATAAGGCGCAACTGCGTTTCTATATTAATATATAATGTCAAGTGACATAAATTAAACCCCCCCCCACCCCCCCCCCCCCCCCCCCCGGGGGGGGGGGGGGGGGGGGGGGGGGGGGGGGGGGGGGCCCCGCCCCGGGGCCCCCCCCCCGGGGGGGGGGGGGGGAACCCAACCCCCCCCCCCCCCCCCCCCCCCCCCCCCCCCCCCGGGGGGGGGGGGGGGGGGGGCCCCCCCCCCCCCCCCCCGGGGGGGGGCCCCCCCCGGAAGGAGTGAACACCCAACCCCCTGGGGGGCCCGAAGGGAAAAGGGAAAAAAAATAAAAAAGGCGGGGCGGGCAACCGCGGCCCCCCCCCCGGGGGGGGGGGGGGGGGGGGGGGGGGGCGCAAAAAAAAAGAGGAGGGCCCCCCCCGCGCGTCCCCCGTCTATCAAAAAAAAAAGACAACATTAAAAAATAGTTTATATAAAATACAATATTGACAAGAGTTTGTATAGGAAAATATATTATGTTTTCATTACATATATACAAAAAATATCTTAAATACTAATTTAAAGAAAAAAAGAAATGACATTCACACAAGTGAGCATGTTTTAAATATGAGGGTAGGTGAAAATTTTAAAAAGTGCGTGCATACAAAGTACACATGTCTGAAGTGAAACGAATTTTTAAGTCTTGTTCATATTTATACAAATCTAAAACTTTAGATTTCCGAGACTTAGAGGGAGGGAAAAGGGAAGATATGTTAGGAATTTAATTAATTTAATTGTCATTGAAATATTAAGTGTTGAAACAAATTATAAATTTCATTTTTTTAAATTTATTTCTTTAATAATAATAACACGTAGCATTTTAATTTACAAATCAATTGAGATTTTTATTTAAAATACTAATTTTTCATAAATTCTCTTTACGAAATTTTTATTTTAAAAATAATCAAATCAGTCACAATCGCTCTCTCCCTTTTCTTTGTCAAAAACGCTGCACATTTTCGTGACGCTAATATTATTATTGCGTTTCATCCGTATAAAATATACCGTAAAAAAATCGTGAAGCCAGAAATAATATATAAGTGTATATATATATGCACTAGCCGATTCGCGCCCGCTTTGCTGGACGAATTAAAATAAATTTTATGTTTCATTATTATTATTTTTTTTTTCATATTTTTATTATTCTTCTTTTTAACTTCCCGCTAAGAAAATTGAAATATTTCGAAAATCGAGTTTTTAACAGATGTTGACGTTTAGAGGTTCTAGGAAGCCTCCCCGAATGTTTCCGCGGTGAAGTCCGTATGGATAAATTTTCATAAAAGTAAAACAGCAATAAAAAAATGAAGGAACGTTGGAATTTAATAAATAAATAGCCATAAACCATCTATTTCGCATCGAATGGTGGTAGTTTCATGTCGATACGATCAGTGGTTTAGGCGTGAAGGAGCCTCAAACGAAGACCATTTTTCTTTTATATATATATATATATGCATTTGAATATTGAGAATTATTTCCTAAGAGACAAAAACTTTATTTCAGGATACTGGAAAGTACTGTTTCGGAGTTGATGATACGCTTCGCGCTTTGGAACTGGGTGCGGTCGAGACGCTCATTTGTTGGGAGAATCTTGATATTCAAAGGTATTTTTTTATTTTATTTTAGTGTTTTTATTTTAGCAGTGATGCCTTCATAGTTCGACTTATTCCTCGGTGGGTAGGTCCGAAGCCCAGTGAACTTTCTTTTTGGGCATTTAACACTCGCTTGTAGGGTAAAGAAAACTGGTATACCTTAGACCCAAAAATATATATTTTCAGACACAGAAGGCGGATTGCCTATTTAAAAAATTCAATAAGATAATATTTGTTTTGCAAAAACAAGGATAATGAAACAGATTCAGAATTATACCGTCTACCAAAACAATTTTATAAAACCGTGAGCTTTCTTAAAACAGTAAAAAGTTCTTCTCAAATAAATTATTTTTATTGTTAACAAAATAACTGCATAATTGGCGCTTTTGAGTCAATCTTCAAAACTGACATATGTCATGTGATTGTCAGCTGTCACTTGTTGTAGAAAGTGGTGTGGTTCGAAGAAGGTTTAAATTTTTTGAAGTTATACTTCTTTGCGCGAGTCATGAAAAAGTTCCTAGAGTGAAATTTTACGATGCGCGCGCACCGTGACACAAAATTATCAGAATGGGCGCCGAGCGTGCGCGAGCGAGATGGGAATATGCCAAGAATTTTGAATGACCATAATGACATTTGTAGTACCTTTTAAACAAATAAAGGAGTTTTAATTATTTTTTCAAAGAAATTTAGCAATGCTTTTTCACAAAGACCTATTGTTACTTAGTTAAAAGGTTATGAAACCTACCTAGTTATTAAATTGAATTAATAATATAATAAAATAATATAATTATTATGATTAATATCAATTAATAATTGAATAATATACTAAATATTGTTAAATTATTAACGCTAAATATTTATTATTATTTAATATTTAAAAAAAATAAAGAAAGCCAAAGAAGTATAACTTCTTACGCGCGTACATATAAGTACACGCACCATTTTTTTAAATATGTTTAATTTAAAATTTCAGATATGTGCTAAAATCCCACGCGACCAATCAAGAAACAATTCTTCATTTAACACCGGAACAGGAGAAGGACAAGTCGCACTTCACTGATAAAGAGGTATATTATTTATTGTATAAAAATGGGCCGATAATAAGGCTTTAACGCCTTTAGACACCTAAGCGTTCGCATGGGCTCCGAGTCTTTGAAAAATTGCGGTAGCGTTAACTGCGGAACGTTAGTCCCTGCAGTTTTTCGCAAGGATGTCAATAACGTTATTTCTTACCGTCTTCCCCGTCTTTTCTTGAATTTACCTCCAAATGCTATCATTTTCGAGCTTTTTGTCTAATTAACGTGTCGAACTCAATATAATTCGGATAATTTCGAATCAAATATAATAATAATTCAATATTTTCGGCATCCATTGTACACGCGAAAAACTGTCTCAACTACTGTATGATCACGCATTGCATGCGAAATGCCAGCGAAACCGCTGCGTCTGACGTTACGGTGACATTTCGCCGTTACTCTAGAAACAAACCTACTAGACGCAACTGTTTCATCTAGTATAGAATAAGCGAGACAAAACGCATGCGAGTGCCATACAACCTACAGGTTTTCGTCGTTTTCGCTGCCGTATGGATAACGTAGTGTACCAAAGGCTTTCACTAAACCTTAGGTTTTACTAGAAAGTGTGGCGTTAACAGACGGCCGTCGTTTTACGGTTGTTATAAGACGTCTTTACTTTGTAACATAATGCAAAAAGCAATCATTTTCGCACGTCGAAGTCACGTTTCGACTCATGGTATTTATTAAATTTGCACGTACACGCGAAAACTTGCACTACTGTTTATCAACGCATGCAAATATATACCGCTTTTGACTATACGTATCGCCATATCTTGAGCCAATAATCGATGTATCAGGCACAGATTAGACTTTTTTTGTCTAATAATATTTTTTTGAAGTTATACTTCTTTAGGCGCGTTATGAAAAATTGATGAGAGTGAAATTTAACGATGCGCGCGCACCGTGACACAAAATTAACAGAATGAAACTTCATTGTTAATGAACCTGGCAACTGCCCATGGAAGATGCTACGGCATTGGACATAATTTAAAAACAACATTCGAATAATAATAGAATTTATGTTACACTTAATGTAAGAGAATAATAATAAATATTTATTTATTTAATTTTTCAAATGTAAACTGAACTTTTTTGACTATAATGACTCCTTTTCCAATGTTTGATTATTTAATTGTAATTAATTATTTGCATGCAATCAAAAACTATTTTTAATAATGCCAAAGAAGTATAACTTCTTAGGCGCGTACACGCACCCTTTTTTTTAGAAGAGGACCATTCTCTAGGAAGTCTACAACACATCCCCAGACCTCATTTTTATTCCTTTTTTTGTTTCTGATTTCATTAAAAAAATCCATGTGTATTAAATATCATAGTAATATACATTTATCTACAAATTTCTCTGAAACTTGGGAACAGTCTTAGTTTCAACAAAATCTATGTTTTTGAGATGGCACAAGATTTGTTAATGGTCTACTGGAGACATAACTAAATAAAAAGTGAAGTTTTATATAGTATAGCGAGTGCTTGTAAGCTAAGCTTTCTATACTCAATCCCTATCCAATTTATTATATTAGAGATTGATATTTCAGTCCATTTTTCATAAAATATTTTTCCATAACTGATCGATGGATCGTTTATGTAAAATATATTTGAATTCGACAGATCAAACTTAGTAATTTATCAATCTAAATTTGCGAAAATCTGGATTGGAAATAGTTTATTGATTTATGTTTTTAGTGCTAAAGGTTAATCAATTATTTCAGAGCGGAGTCGAACTGGAACTGGTGGAATGTCAGCCCTTGCTCGAGTGGTTGGCGAACAACTACAAGTCTTTTGGAGCAACGCTTGAGATTATCACCGACAAGAGTCAAGAAGGGAGTCAGTTTGTACGCGGTTTTGGTGGAATTGGCGGTAAGTAACTTATAAGCATCAGCTAAACAGCTCTAATACCGCGGTTAAAAATTATGCGGTTAAGTTGTGCGGGTTTTCCCGCATTGGTTTTTAATACTGTATATAAGCTCCTTATGTGCTCTCGTTTTCTTAATATTAATAATGGCTATGTGTTTGTCCCAATAAGCTGTTTTTAACTCGCGGGAAAAACCCGCAGCTTTATATCAAGACTAGTTTCGTGGCCATAACACCTCTAATTATTTCCAAACGCTGCACTTCTATGAGATCTTATAATATGAAGAATTTAATAATAAATATTTATTTACACAAATCATGTTTGAGCCCATATGGTTGACAAGGTCATTGACCTCTGGGTCATTAACCTTTTATTAGTAAGCTACTACTTAGGGTACTTATGGTAGCCTGGTACTTTGCTAAGCTAATATGAAAAACTTTGTTTTCTATATAATTGTTTATTTATTATTTTATTATATAATAGTGGAAAAATTATTATAGAAAACATATTTTTTTTTAATTGCTCTATTTAGGCTAAGGTTATTTGTCTGCTAATTAGGATCGATTCAAGGATGTACCTAGAACAAGTATACACCTAAAATACTTCTATTTATAATTTCTTAATATTATTCTCTTTGACGATTAAACATTCTAGATTATTCTACAGATTGAACAAAATGTTGACAATTTGTCATAGTCGTAGAATAGTGACGGATCTGACAAATAGTAAACTTTACAGGGCAGCCATTTCAAAATAATATAATCATGTTAGTGTTTGTCATAAATATTTTAATTCATTATTATGAAAATTGGCATACCTATAACAAAAGGGTTGGTTTTGAAACAAATAAAAAAAATTTAAATGATACTAGAAATTTCTAGAAAAATCACGTTTCCATCAAATCCGTCACTTTACCGACTGATTAATTTGAAATTTAAAACATGGTTTGTTTTTAATGTAGCCGTAATATTTATTCAATGTAGTATACAAATATGATAAAAAGTGAATTTTGTATTTTTTTTAAATCCGACATTGTTCTACGATCATGACGAATTGTCTTTCATAGATTAATAGGGAAAATGGTATTATAAATTAGAAAATAACAGGTCAAAAGATCAGATCATAAGATAGACAAGAAGGTGGTCATGATAAGATATACTAAGGAACAAGATTTTGTGAAATTATTTATAAGGAATTTTTTATTCTCTCGGGGAAGATCACAGAACGAAGCCTGCCTTCTCCAATTAGAATTTCAAGGATATACCCTATTAAATGTTTGCTGGTATTTTGGGTGTATGAGATGCCTCCATGAATCGATTTTAAATTAATAATTATTTTTCCCTTATGCTGCCGTTGGACAGGTATTTTGCGTTACAAGGTTGACTTTCAGTCGCTGCAACTCGACGAACCATTGGATGACGTGGACCTAGACGATTATTAGATTTATGTTATACGGACAGGGAAAAGCCTAAGAAATTATGGTTGAAAAGTTTTGATTTTCCTAAAAATTATTAGGTTTTCCTAAAAAAAATTTTTATGGGAGCGTTCAAGTGTTACGTAACGAATTTTAGGGGGGGGGTCTGTAAAACGCTACGATGCGGGGCGGGGATTGAATTACGCGTTACCATTAATATTGTTTTCGACTTTCCAGTACTTTACAACACATAATTGAGTGGTCAAACGTTTTACTATTGGGTACCGAAGAACGTTACGACGCGTTACATGGGGGGGCATAATATCCAAAAAATTGCGTGACGTAATACTTGAACGCTCCCTTACCTATTAATAATACTTTCGTTTTTAAGAAAAAATACTTTTTTTTCTGTCCGTGTATAAAAATGCACCATTAGATTTTAAACATAGTTCTAAGAAGGTTTTAATGAAATTCACGAAGTTAAAATGGCGTTTATGTGAGTAAAATTTATATAATGTGTGATTTTGTTTTAAGTGTATAAAAGTACACTGATTTTACTTAATTATCTGCATAGAATTATAGCTGTCTCTCTTAAATTTAATCTAAAGGCCGGCATACTGTTATAATTTAAATAACTTTCACTAATAAACCATTCTAAACTAACTTTTAATAGATTAGTGAACTCAACAATATCTGCGTCAGTCAACTGACAGTTGTCAAATGCCAAGTTTACACTGACAGTTGTCAAATGTCAAGTTTAAACTGACAGTTGTAGAATGTCAAGCTTAAACTGACTGATGTTGAATGTTAAGTGTAAACTGAATAAAGTAACTGTTCTAATAATAACTGAACTTTACATTTAATGCGTCGGATAACTGTCTGAAGCTAAATATCATGCTTAAACTGACAGTTGTCAAAGTTGGAAGATTAATTTTGATATTTAATTTATTATGTATAATAATGCCATACGGACTTGACTTAACGATTTTACGAACATAAGATTCTAAGTTAATTTATTTATAACTAACACTTTTTCGCCAGTAAATAATGCTTATAAGAAACGAAATCTAAATCGCCAAGGTATTTTGACAACGTCTAATAAATTGATGAACGCCGGCTGCACGCACGAAGAAGCAAGACTCATTGTACGCTCGCGCCACATCCATCTATCTCTCTCTCTCTCTCTCTCTCTCTCTCTCTTTCCACTCTTCTTTGTATCCATACAAATAGTGATAATTCAATTAAAATTAATAACTTTATTTATAAAAGAATGCAATAATTTCATCAATGTTTTGTTATGACGTTGTCACGTTTAACTATCGTTTGTAAACCGACTTTACATTAGTCCACAATCCACATACATATCGAAGCAGTGTTTAAAGTTTAATAAAAGAAAATTATTACGATTAAGCAACAATGTTTATAGCACCTGTATCTTAATTTAAAAAAAAGGGTTCATGTACTTATGTACGCGCGTAAGAAGTTATACTTCTTTGGCATTATTAATAATACATACGGATAGTTAACCTCAATTGTATTGAAGCACTTAGGAAGGTTAATGAGCACAGTTTTTTCATAAATATTTTCTAATATTAATTAGTATTGATTTAAATATTCAATTTAAATCACTTCTGATTATAATTCAGACGCACATATAAAATTCGCTCTTAATTTCTCTCTTTCTGTTAATTTTGTGTCACTGTGCGCGCGCATCGTAAAATTTCACTCTCATCAATTTTTCATAACTCGCCTAAAGAAGTATAACTTCAAAAATTAAATAACTCTCACCATAGTAGCTTATCAATAAAATAAATTGTGCGTGTACTAGGTGTACACACGTAAGAAGTGAAACTTCTTTATGATCTTATTTTTCGAAAAATGATCTACTATATGCAACTTTACAGAAATTCGTTAAATTAGATAAAGTTTAACAAAAGGCTTTTATTATCATAGACATGAATACAAATATTTCATTTTACCTTATTACTACGAAGATTATTATAGAATTTCATTAATTGTAATAGAATTATTACTATCATTGAAAAACGTGACGATTTGCTACAAAATTTCTCCCATACGTCGATAAAGAAGTTTCATTCCAACGCCGATAAAGAAGATTGACTTCAAAAAGCAACATGGCGCGTAACCGAAAAATGTGACGCGTAACGAAAAAATGTTACACTAAATTTTTTTCCAACCTCGATAAAGAAGTTTCACTTCAAAAATAAAACACACCACTACACGCAATACTCGTCGAGCGAGTTTGCTTATCTTGCCGAAGCCGCTTACAAATTAATTGAAGAAGTCAATTAATTTGTACGCGGCGGGGAAGTATGAATTATCGTCTAAAAATCGTAATATTTGCGCGTTTAATCAATTCAAAAGGGCATTAAAGATATCAGAATGAGAGTAGACTAAAATTGGGACGGCTGATGGCGACGTGTATCTCGTTTGTATTAAGTTTCTCGTGTAAATAAAATTAAAAATTTTACGCTGCTCACGTGCACACAAGATGGCGTCTTTATTCTTAAAAAAAATGTTTTTAGATTTACTTTCGTATACATAATATCCATTTCATATTTATACCAAGTTGATTTTTGTTTGACCAAATGTTTAATATTCATCCCATATATAAAGCAATATAAATACTCCAATTAGTATTAGCCGTTCAATATAAGTAGAAGCTAGTATTTTCTCTCTAAAACCTTAGCGCGAAAGCCTTTTTTCCAGCCTCGTTATTCTTAAATTTGGCTCAATAGCGATTATTTTCGATATATCTAATCACCTTTTGAGCCAATCTAATTTTAAATAAATTGTTGCCTAGATTAGTAACGACATTTGACAGGAGTCTTAGTTAAAGTCTCGACTCTAAACACATCCGAAGCTTTATAGTCTAGACTTAGTGCTAAGTGTAACTCTTGTTTGTCAAAAACATCTTGCATTTGATAGAAGTCACACTTAATAAGTTTCGAATTCTGGTGTGTCAAAAACGTCTTGGATTTGACAGGAGTCATACTTAATAAGTAGATTTTGACTATCATCTAGTTTTATAGTCGAGACTTAGCTAAGTGTGACTTTGTTATGTCAAAAACGTCTTGGATTTGACAGGAGTCGCACTTAATAACTCTCAATTCGTAATATCATCCTAAGTTTCAGAGTCGAGACAGCGCTCTAGTTTGTCAAAAACGTCTTGCATTTGACAGGAGTCTAACATAATAAGTCTCGAACTCTGGTTTGTCAAAAACGTCTTGGATTTGACAAACACGAGAATTAGTTTCGCGATTCATAGCATAGGACACGGAGAAATTTTATACTATATATATAAATATACTAAATAGCAATCATAAATTATAGATTCACGTCAGATCAAGCGCGTAGAAATGTCTAGAAACTATAGTCGACGCATTATTAACTGAGGATTCGGGTCATAAATCATATTTGTCTGTCTCGCTCGCACTCACTTGGAGAGGTGCATAAGAATTCTAAAGGTAATCATAGAGAAACTGTATAGATCGCAATGTGACCGTTTTTATCTTTTCTTTTGTTTGTATGTTAAAATCCGAAGATTTCTCCCTGTGTCATCTTCATGTGGGTTAATTATCAGAGCTGGTGTTTGATCTCTTAAACACTTAAGACACATCGATAACGCGTGCGCAGGTAGCTAAGTATCAATAACGGGTTACATTGCGTGCACATTCCTATCAGTGATATTAATATGCGTCGAAAATACGAAAAATAGGTTAAAAATTGAATCTGAATAGAATAGATAGGATATAAGCTATAAATAAAACAGCATAGTAATAAAAGCGTTTAGTAACTAAACTATACTTTTTAATACACCAATACTTTTAGTCTTAGGAATGCTAGAACAGTATTTTGGATGACTCATTAGGTGCCTTATAGTAACAAGTAGAAATCTAATCGAATGAAAAAACCAGTGATTCCTTCTGTACCTGGTGCGGCGGTTTCTAATGCATGCGTCACGATGTTTTCCTTTGCCGAATGATGTTGAATGCGCTTGGTGTATTGCAAGGGACGAAAGGGGATTAGTATATACAAAATACTAAAATTTGGTACAGGAAGTATGTTAAATACTCGATCTCCGGAGTGAAGGTCTACTCCAAATTCCTCCAATTGTCTGTCATCTTCGCTTCTATCTCTTTTCACCTTCTTAGGTTTCTGGTCATTCTCTTCTGTCCATTTATTGTTTCAAGTAAGGACCCAGTTAAAATTTTTCGAGTATTACTTTTCATCTATACGACTAAGACGACTCATTGGTCTAGTGGTTAGTACCCCTGACTGCGTCCATGTGTCATCCATGGGTCCCGGGTTCGATCCCCGGCTGAGACGAACATCGATGTGATGAGCATTTGGTGTTTTGCTTAGGTCTTGGGTGTTTAAATATGTATTTATATGTCTATCTATCTATAATATGTATGTATATCTGTTGCCTAGTACCCATAACACAAGCTTCACCAGCTTAACATGGGACTAGGTCAATTGGTGTGAATTGTCTTTAAAAAAAATCTATCCAGGTTTCTGCTCTTCTGGGCCATTCCAAGTAAAAGGATTTTAATCTGTCTGCCATCACACGTTTTTGATTGGCCTATTCCCAGTTGAATTTCTTCGCATATCCCTTTTCATTTTTCCAGGTTTTTGGACATCTTCTTTCTCTGCCCACTGGACCCTTCCAAATAAAGACCTGAATTATCTGTCATCACACGCTGGCAGTTATGATTGGCCCATTTCCAGTTAAATTTCCTCGCGTATCCCTTTTAATTTTTCCAGATTTTTGGACATCTTCTTTCTCTGCCCACTGGGCCCTTTTAAATAAGGACCTGAACCATCTTTCATCACACGCTGGCAGTTTTTATTGCCTATTTCCAGTTTAATTTTTTCGAGTATCACTTTTCATTTTTCCAGGTTTTTGGACATCCTCTCCTTTCTCTGCCCACTGGACCCTTTCAAATAAGGGCCTGAATCATCTTTCATCACACGCTGGCAGTTTTGATTAGCCTATTTCCAGT